TTTCCCGTCGGAGCATATCTCTGGCTTTCTCGTCATACTTCTTCAGGGCTCTCCTGCGGTCCTGGTAGTAAAGTTTGACGCTTTTCATATACTTCAGTTTAGCCATATGCTCGACATCCTTCTCCAGTTCTTCCGCTTCTTGGGCTTCCAACTTAGCTACGTCTTGGGACGTGCCAAGCAGCCTGCGGGTATTCGTTAGTTGGTTGTAGTATCTCCAGAGGTCATCCTTGCAGTCGTCCACCTTGCATTTTAACGGAAGTTCCTGTAACAGGTTCCCGTAGAGGTCTTTAAGCATGGGGATTTTCCTCTGGCCATTGGGCTTGTCTCGTTCGGCCCTAATCTTCGCGTGGGCGTGTTTTGCCATGCGTCTTACTACGCTCTTGCACCGTGGACTCATTGGTTCCGTAGGTGTGAGTTCATCGAAGGTCTCCTGTTCCGAGACGGTGAACGATTCCGCCTCCGACCCTTCATCTGAGCTCTCGTCTTCTGGGGTGCTTTCGCCGTTTATTCCCCAGTCCTGTTTGCTCACAAACGTTGCGTTCAACTGTCCTGTCCAGGTGGCATTGAGTTGTTTGCCGACTTTGCGTCCGCCGTTCCCTTTCTTTGGCTGTCTGCAGTCTCGGGCCATGTGGCCTGGCTTGTCGCAGTTAAAACAGAGTCGTTCCTTGAATTGTCTGTCTTTCTTAGGGTCACGGGGTCGTCCAGGTTTGAACGTGGCATCGAGTTCCATTGGGTCCGACCAACGGTTGTCTCGCGGGTGTTGATCCCGTCGTCTGCCCTCGTTTCCCCGGTAGGGGTAACTTTTCTTGGGCTTGTCATAGGTCCGACGTTCCTTCTGGAATTCGTATAGTCGATTGTCGATTCGGACCGTATGTTCGATTAGCGCTACCATGTCCGTTGGTTGTTGTTCCAAACAGGCAAGTTCCATACGTATATGGCTCTTCAGCCCACGTCGGTAGTGGCTGATGAGTGCGCTGGCGTCCCATCCTGTCTGATTGCCGTATCTCTGGAATTCTGTGGAGTACGTGAGGGCGCTGCCAGTCTGTTTAAGTGCAAACAGATGGTCTTCTGCGGTCTTAATCTCATCGATGTCTCCGAACATGCGTCGGATTTCCTTACAGAATCCATTCCAGCTGCCAAACATAGTCTGCGTAGTTGTCATGCTTCCATTGGTACTTTCATATTTGAAATAGTCCTTGAGGAATGGTTCGATCCATCGCAGGGCTTCCCCCCTAAGGTAGGACGCAGTCCACAGGGCATAGCTCTCCTGGGTGGGAAACTTCTCGTCATTGAAGTGCTGGTACAGTTCGACCTGTAGCAAAAACACCTCAAGTTCCTTTCGGTTGCCGGAGTAAGTGTCGGGCAACTTGACGCGTAGAGTTTCCTTGAGTTCATTGACGGTGGGTGCGTCGGGCATCTCTTCATTCTCAGGCTTAGACCTCTGAGACGAAGTTGGCGTGGTGGGGGTTTTCCCCTTCGAACTGACGACAGACATGTTGCTTTGTGTGTAAGCCGGTACCTCGTAGAAGTGGTGCTCAAAGTGTAACGCTGACTTCTAAACGATAGAAGACACAGAGGTTCTCTTGCGTAAAGGTTTACTTATCAGAGGAGGCAGGGGATCAGACACAAAGGCTTCAAGTAACACGTTACTAGTATATAACAAATACTGTATTGAGTTGAGCACGAAGCTCCTATCTAAGGAAATACTATCTACTTATATAGTGGCGTCGTGCCTAGTGGACTCTTGGGAACTCACTCGAGTCCTCAGAGTCCTGGACTCTTAGGACTCTTCTCATCATCCTGCGAGTCCGTCACGTGCCTAGTGGACTCCTGGGAACTCACTCGAGTCCTCGGAGTCCTGGACTCTTAGGACTCTTCTCATCATCCTGCGAGTCCGTCACGTGATACTTTCGGAACTACTATTCCCCGCTGCCCCTCCAGGTACCAGGGCCGGTCTCATGCGACCTCCCTCCTTCCTGTCCTGTAGTTGGCCAGCCTTCTTGTTCCGTCGTAACACACGGCTGTTTGGTAGGGAAACACTACTAGTTAATAATTAATTGTAACGCTGACTTCTAAACGATAGAAGGCACAGAGGTTCTCTTGCGTAAAGGTTTACTTATCAGAGGAGGCAGGGGATCAGACACAAAGGCTTCAAGTAACACGTTACTAGTATATAACAAATACTGTATTGAGTTGAGCACGAAGCTCCTATCTAAGGAAATACTATCTACTTATATAGTGGCGTCGTGCCTAGTGGACTCTTGGGAACTCACTTGAGTCCTCGGAGTCCTGGACTCTTAGGACTCTTCTCATCATCCTGCGAGTCCATCACGTGCCTAGTGGACTCCTGGGAACTCACTCGAGTCCTCGGAGTCCTGGACTCTTAGGACTCTTCTCATCATCCTGCGAGTCCGTCACGTGATACTTTCGGAACTACTATTCCCCGCTGCCCCTCCAGGTACCAGGGCCGGTCTCATGCGACCTCCCTCCTTCCTGTCCTGTAGTTGGCCAGCCTTCTTGTTCCGTCGTAACACACGGCTGTTTGGTAGGGAAACACTACTAGTTAATAATTAATTGTAACGCTGACTTCTAAACGATAGAAGGCACAGAGGTTCTCTTGCGTAAAGGTTTACTTATCAGAGGAGGCAGGGGATCAGACACAAAGGCTTCAAGTAACACGTTACTAGTATATAACAAATACTGTATTGAGTTGAGCACGAAGCTCCTATCTAAGGAAATACTATCTACTTATATAGTGGCGTCGTGCCTAGTGGACTCTTGGGAACTCACTTGAGTCCTCGGAGTCCTGGACTCTTAGGACTCTTCTCATCATCCTGCGAGTCCATCACGTGCCTAGTGGACTCCTGGGAACTCACTCGAGTCCTCGGAGTCCTGGACTCTTAGGACTCTTCTCATCATCCTGCGAGTCCGTCACGTGATACTTTCGGAACTACTATTCCCCGCTGCCCCTCCAGGTACCAGGGCCGGTCTCATGCGACCTCCCTCCTTCCTGTCCTGTAGTTGGCCAGCCTTTTTGTTCCATCGTAACATTAATCTAACGAGATGCATCTTCCGATCAAGGCAAAGATTCACCGAGAATTTCGAGCACCGTAGATCCAGACAAGGTCTAGCCTGTTCCTTCGTCAGCTTCATTTATTTTACCACTACTAAAGTTCACTTTAGGCGCGTCTTCCTTTGGTACTCCAGTGGCTGCAGCGGTACAAGGAATGGATTTCATAGGCGTAGATTATAGAAACTGTCCGCAGAGACACGGTTATGAAAGGGTTGGGAACCGTTATTCTGATATATGATCAATTGTCACCTATATACCAAGATGTGCCAAGCTCGAAGTGATTCCATCGCTGCACAATCCGCCGACCTTTATCCACGTAGAAACATTTGAAATACAGCTGTAAAAACAAAACACTGACACGACCGCATACTAGCAAGGAGAGCAAAATCAGACGAGTGTGTTAACTTATGCTTCCAAAACATCTCGCGCCTTTTCATGGTACCGGAAGCCTCGGTGAGAACTGACTGCCGCCAGAGCTACCATCCATTTGAGGTCTTCTTTTTTCCAGCTGAGCTGTAAAAGTGGATGCTAGTAAGGTTAGGCGTAGCACGACTTGTAGATGGACTTGCTTACATCTAATAGCTCGTCAAAAGACCTGGCTACCTGGATCTTGGCCAGGAAGTCGACAGCTTTGCAGTCGGCTGGCCATCGCTCCAAGTCGTGGGCACCCCCGGCTCCATTCTCATAGGCGCTCTTCTGCATCAGCTTCATGGTAATACTCATTAGAGACACCATATCTCGCGAACTTCCCCAACCCGGAAGTGCCATTTCACTGCAGCATTCCTGACCAGCTGATGAGTGTTAGATTGGGGACTCGGGGCAGGCAGCTAGCTCACCAATCTGTATATCTCCTTCTGTGCCGACGAGAATGCTAGAGCAGTTGAGAGAGCCATGCTCGAGCTGACACGAGGCCAGATACTTGAGCCCTTTGACAATCTGTACCAGTCAGCACGTCGACCCATCATAGTTGGTAGAACGCACCTGTGCCAGTGCCGCCGCCAGTTCAAGCTCGGTAGGGTAGGGAGGCGAGTACACGATATTGTCAAGCGTGACAGGAAGGTGCTGAAAGACGGCGTAGTGAGAGCCTTCAAAGCTAAAGCAGTCAACCATGTTGTGGAAGTTCTGGTGCCGTACTCTCCGTAGCATGCGGACCCTCTGGACGGCATCAGATCCCTTCAGGCGCTTCACCATGAAAATATCGTACGGGGGAGATCGATCAGCTACAATGGAGACATATCCGCCGAGATTCAGTTCGAACTTCTCACAGAAGCGGGCCCATGGCGATTCAAACTGGACTGTGCAGTCGAGCACGCTGGCACCGCTCTGGACAGCTTTCACGACCTGTAGGTCCCTGAGACCGGACTTAGTGGCTGTCTCACGGCTGTCCAGAGAAGCTTTTATATGGCGGCGTTGCTTAGGCTCGTGGTCCTGCGATGCCATAACCTTTCTCTTGTTCAAGATCAGCGAAGCAAAGCCAGGAGAGACGCTCTCCTCTGGCATGTCGATTCGTGCGTTGGTGTCGAGGTCAGGCCCATCGCCAAAGATGATCCTCGTCATACGATTGTCCTTGACGGAAACATTGTGCTCAAGGTCGTCGGCAGTGGTTGAAGCAGACTGTAGTCGGTCGTTGGCAGAGAGAGACTCCATTATTCGTAGACAATTGTAAATGACGGCAGCTGCGACTGGTGTGCAGCAGGTGGGCAAACGGAGCATTTATGTCAGACAGACAAAGGGCCTGGAGTGTGTAGAGCCGAAAAAGAAGCGGACAGGCCTTTGACTATCAGCAGCAATTGGGTGGTACCTAGTTAGAAGCAGCCCAGATGCACCGATGGTATTATAAGTACCACACGACCCAGGGCACACTCATTCCCACCACCCTCTTCCTCCCTCCAGCCTCCATTCTAGTCCACTCCCTTCAGCCCTCGATATGCAGCAGTCTCAAGCCCAAAACGAGGACTCCGTGCTCGAGGGGGAGCGGCGACTGAAGTATAAGGGTACCGCCCGCATCGGTCTCGACGTGCTCTTTTTCTGCCAAGATCAGCCACGTAAATCCAGCAAGAGACAAACGGAGTTCCTGGTGGATTGTTTTCAGAAGGAAGGATGTCATCGACTGCCTTTCTGCAATCACGTCCCTGCGATCATCGACCAGGAAAGCCTCGATGCCGCAATGCAGCAGTTGGGGAAGACGGCGGACGACTTGCTGACTAATAATGATGTGCCCGACTATCCCCTGCTCAAATTTCCGACCAGCTTCCACCTTGAGTGTCTCCACGGCCGGCACAGGATCGAAGCTGGGCGCGAATTTCTCGATCCTGGGGACGATTGGTGGACGGTTGATCTGTACCTCTCAGGTAAGATCAAGGCTTTCTGAAAGACGGGTCGTGCTAACATGTGACTACCTAGACCTGAACGTCGACCTGAAGACATGCCTCGTCGAAGAATACTCCAACGAGGAGAAGCCCTCTGATGGCGAGATCTACTATAAGATGCGGCGCTACCATTTCCAGCGGAATTTCAGCTTTGAAATGCGGTGGAAGGCGCGCCTGCGAGGCAAGCGGCAGCAGTACCTGCTGACGCTCACCCGTAATGAAGCAATGACGGCGGCATTCGATGACTTGCTCGACATCCCAGGTCTCTGGGGCGGGATGAAGATCACTACGCTGCACAAAATGATGGCTCTGAAGTGTGATACAGTAGGGAGAGTGCTGGCCTAGTTGATTTTGGCTGATTTCTCGCGCTACAGGAACTCTTACACTACCTCCGCCGCATCAAGCAGGTCTGGTCCGATCTAGTACGTGGCAATAAGGCTGCTATGGGAAAGATCGATCAAACCACAGTGAAGGCTTTAGAGCTGAAGGCACCACGAGCGTCAACAGCGGACATGGAGTTCCTCCGCATTCGAGTGCGTGGGGGGGAGGTATTCAGCGCTTTCGACGACTGCGAGCGCGACGATATCTGGAGCCGTCTAGAGTGCGTTGAGGGCCTAATTCCATCTCTTGCGACCTTCTTCAAAGACATCGGGTACTTGGAGCGCCTCGCCAACTGCGTCAAGCGGCTAACGGGCGACAATGTCCAGATCTCTCATGCCTTCAAGCAACTATTCTCCCCTGTTGATCAACAAGACGGCCGCGTTCGGATCACGGACGGCCAGGCTAAGATTCAGGTTGCTGAGAGTGCTTTTGTGTACGGGCAGGGGACGCGCGGAGACCAAGTCGATCTCGGGTACCGGCAGATCATTGCGTATGCCATGCGGCACTTCGCGGATATGCCAAAGGAACCAGTGAAGGAGGACCGCGTGATGCAACCTGCAGCGATGGCAGATCGAGACGTCCTCCGCCGCTTCGCTGACTTGGCTGACCAGCTGGGGTTTACCAGCCCCAGGATAAAGCATTTGCAGCAGTACCCAGCTGCACTCGCCGAGCAAGCCCCACCATCGGAGCATCCTCCCCTCATTACATCGGGATCCGGGGTAGGGATAGCTCATAGATGCGGCACCCCACTCAGGCCGAAATTCAACGAGGACCGGAAATTCTGGTTTATCAATCACCTCCACGACGAGAGGGAGCAGCAAGGCAAAGGCATCACGAACTTCTTCGTCCGAAAACAAGTTTATCTCGCCTTCTTTGGCTGGCCGACCTGGAGGCCTACTGCCCAGGGTGGTAGCCATGGCCGCTCTCCATCTCTCCCTGCTCCAGACTTCGGAGATTTACCTCGAGACCCAGGCCCTGATGCTCAACACCACACGGTCGGGTCCCGAACGGACCGGCCACCTAGTACGCTAGAACCTGCAGATGATGACATGGGCCTTTTTGTCCCAGAAGCGGATCCAAGCCAAACCCAGGCGGGAGGAATAGGTGATGGTGGTCAGCCAGAGCAGCCGACGAACAGCTCGACGCCAGCCGAGCATGAAAGGTGGAAGCGGAAGCTTCTGGAACAAAAAAAGTGAAGGGAAGCCCAGCGGCTGGAGAAGGAGAGGCTGGAGAAGGAGCGGCTGGAGAGGGAGAGGCTGGAGAAGGAGAGGCTGGAGAAGGAGAGGCTGGAGAAGGAGAGGCTGGAGAAGGAGAGGCTGGAGAAGGAGAGGCTGGAGAAGGAGAGGCTGGAGAAGGAGCGGCTGGAGAGGGAGAGGCTGGAGAAGGAGAGGCTGGAGAGGGAGAGGTTGGAGAGAGAGCGACTGGAGAGAGAGATAGACATCGACCTTATTAGATGGGAGGACGATACTTGGAAATACCTAACACCACTCGCAGTCGATCCAGAGAATCCTTCTAACATCGAACGGTTGGTCAACGATTACATGACGGAAGGAATCAGGGCTTTCAACACATTTCTGAGAATGATGAGCCCCACAGAATGCCTTCAGGTAGTCATCAATAATAGGACACATACAATCCTCCTAATCGCAGAAGACGAGCTTGCTATTGATGATAGGATGCATGAATCTGCAGCGAATCTCCACGCGGAGGCAACCAAGAGAGTCATTGATTTGAAACGCAAGGCCACCAAAGATCTGTCTCACAATTACCACCCACGGAAGATGGTTGTCTGCACCGATGGGAATGAGCTACCGTGAATGCCAGGTACTGTAGAGTCTTCTGCACCTTTGGGAATTACCATCATGTTATTTGTACCGTCGTTTTGTTGGTAGTGTAGTGTCTTCTGCGCCTTTGGGAATGAGCTACCGTTTGGCAGGTTCCATTGTCAGGAAGTTCCATTTCCTTTGAGAGTCACGTGGGTGCATAGTAAATATGGCAACGGTATCATGACATTGCGGAGTAATTTGCAACCAGTATTGCTGGGGCATCTAGAGAGTAATATAGCTAGAGAGTGACATTAAGTATAAGAGAGCCATAATTTTCCACGTGACTGTTACGAGTAAGGAAACCTTCTCGAAAATGCAGGTGAGGGTTCATTTGGCACTATTTCGGGTAGATCCGTATTCTGATCAGCAACGGGTCGAACAGATCTGAGCCGGGGTTGCGTCATCCCACTTCTTGGCGCCGTGGTAGTTGCACTATCCACACCTTGTTTATTCCTTCTCTTTACCCAACTTGCTCTGGACCTTCTGCATTGCGTTTCCGTTGATATTTCGCGTCAGCGTTATGTGGCAACATACTTATAGGGATTGGAAACGAATTCATCTTGCCAGTACTTAGTAAATACCTTCAAAATCAGGAATGAACGTACGATTTCTTTCTTGGATGGTGGAAAACATGGGTTACCAGGAGATACATAAGTGTAATAACGCCCCTTCTGATAGATGATCAAAGCAACATCTGCGCCGTATAATTTCCCATACTCATATACCTTGTTGGTCAAAGTGCTTCTCCTTCGAGATGCATTCTGGCTTTGGCGTTTCTGTACGTTGCACATGTTGGGATAGAGAATGCGATGCCTCTTGTAATATGAAGAGTTGTAATTCGATCAAGATAGTCGCAGGGTGCCACTGGCAATTTATAGCAGGCAAGGCTATTTAAAGTGTTTCAATGAGATCTAGTTCGATATAGCAGGTACCTGAAAGCAGGTGCCTGCCTCTTTGCGGGTACCTCTTTATCCCGGGGCGAAAAGACTTAAGTCTGTCGAAAATAGTATGCGTTGCTCATGTTGTGATAGAGTCTATTGAGCATGGAATTAAGGGAATTATTGTGCCACTTGTAATTTAGATAGTAATAGCTAGAAAATTATTGGAAGCTGTCGTTGGCATTTCATGGCAAGCTACGAATATTTGAAGATGTCAACGAGATCTAATATCTCTAAAAACGGTTATTCTGGCGTCTCAAGCTTGGTATCCACCTCCAGATGAGGGTCCGCGTATCCACCGATCCACCAGATATAGTGCCACCTGCACCACCCGATGGACCCTCCTCTCACCACCCGATGGACTCAATGAACGCTCATCTGTTATCCACCAACTTATCTTTAGTGACGAAGGAGGTGATACTGCAGCTGCTCCCCAGGGTGGGTACGAGACCATTGTTGCAATTGTCGCGGCATTATCGGTGGAGGCAGTTGATTTCGCTCATCGACTGCACAGATGGAGTGGTTCGCCATCCAGGCATGGCTTTTATTAACAGCAAATAACCAAACTGCAGCCATGTATTTCATCTTTTGAACTCTTCTCTCAGTTAATCAAAACATTATGCGCAATGCACATGACGCTATTGTCGCCATTCACTACTGTCGTCACCCTTCTCTCCAACCCGACAAATAAGCCGTTAAACACACCATCTGTCCTTTTGCGATACAGTTCCCCATCGTCACCAAGCAAGACTGACTCATCTAGGCCTTCAGTCCGTTCAATCTCCCCATCATCAAGCCATACTCCGCGCTCATCCAGAAACAACCCATATCCGAAGTTGTAGAGTCCATGCTCCAAGTTTGCAGTCTCCAGCATGAAATCGGAAACTGGTTTTATTACCATATACTTCGAATACTCGATCTTCTTTATATTTGTAATAGATGAACTTGTATGAATTTTCAAATTCGGAAAGTAACCGGTGTGATCGTCTATGCATGTGCTGGCATCCACTGTTTGACACAATAGTGGTTGTGCGACCCATGGAGAGTCTTGAGCAGCTGTAACATCCCCAATGGATAGACAGATTGCCATGAAGTCAGGTCGAGGTGCTATAATGATATCATTGCTATCAACACACCCGATCTGAGCAACACCTTTGGGACAAGAGTCGAAATCCATTTGATATATGCATATCCTGACGCAATATACTCCTTCTTCATGGATTGTCAGCCCAGAGAAATGAAAGGTTCCGCCAATGGGGGATTGAATGAGTTCTCCCCCGAGCTGATGTGTAACATCTGTGCCATTTTCAAGCAGCGTCGCGATAGCCCAGACATTTAGCATGTCCTCGGGCTGCAACAGCTGTACCACGATGGGGGGGAACAGTTCTATTTTCTGCCGAGTGAGTTCTGGCGGTTGTATTAATATAGCGAGCATTTGATGGGGCGGCAGGCTTGTGCTCCATGGATCCATCATCGTCGATAAGTCGAATGACTCAGCACCTTTTGCAGCATCTGGCTGCTGAGGTACAGCACCATTGATACTGGCACCTTGTGCGGTTTGTGTCGGCGTTGATGCGTTATTTGCGACAGGACAGTCAGTGGCGCAGATGGTATTTAGATCATTGCTAGCGCCGTATCCCTGAGGCCAGAATGTACTAAATCCTCGTATGAGGCTCGGATGTCCAGCAAACAAATCTGATATACGGTTGATGACGCTAGGAATGTCGATTCTGGTTAGGCTTTATGTTAGTATGAAAGTGTGATAATGATGTCAGCATGATTAGCTAGAAGACTCACACTTGACTCTTGAAATCCTTCAAGATGTGGAGAAAAGTACTATAGATATCCGGCTTGTCGACGAATTGGGCTTTGACTTGGTCAAGATAGCTATAAGCTTCCTGGGAAATTATTGTCAGTAATGCGTTGATTTTCCTGTCTATCGCAAGACTCCTGACGAGGAAGGAAATATAATGATTGTTCGGCTTCAGTTGCAAGTTAATCCGTTGAAACGGTCAACAAACGTTATCCATCTCTGTCACAAGTGCACATAAGCACCTGATTCTACGGTTGCAGAGCGCTCACACATTTAAGACATTGCCGTTGGTCCCCACCACCATACATGGTGGGGTAAGGGTTTGATATCGCAATGAAGGGGAAACCTACTTACATCTAGTTGTTTCTGAGTTAACGCTAGAGCACCCTGAGCTAAATATGCTGGATGTGCAACTCCACCAGGTGGTTGCGATGGACCCATCTTCGTTCTTATGCCCAATTGCTCTGATAGCATGCTGGTTGACGCGCCGATCTCATGTACTGTCAATGGGGCAAAAGGCTCCGATGATTCTGTCGGCGTATTCGGCGGGGTAGCTAGCATTTTAGGTGGATTGATGTGCGAGATGAGAGTTCTTTCGTTTCCTGTGGCAGGATGACCAGTGGCGCAGATGGCATTAGGGTCATTGCTGGAATCGCTTTCAGTTTGGTACCTGGGAGGCAAGAATATATTAAGTCCTTGTATAAGGTTGGGATGCCCAGCAAGTAATTCGGATATACGGGTAACGACGCCAGGAAAGCCGATTCTGGGTAGCCATTGTGTTAGTATGAAAATGTGATAATGATGTCGGCATGATTGGCTAGAAGACTCACACTTGACTCTCGTAATCCTTCAAGGTGTGGAGAAAAGTACGATATATATCCGGCTGGTCGACAAATTCGAGTTGGATTTGTCTAATATAGCTAACAGCCTCCTGGAAAACTATTGTCAGCGATGCGTTGACTTTCCTGTCTTTTGGAAGATTCGTGCTGAGGAAGGTAACGAAAATGATTGTTCGGCTTCTGTTTCAAGTTACTCCGTACACGGTCGACAAACGTTCTCGGGCCACCCTCAAAAGAGCGCACAAGACCTGATTATGCCTTGCAGAGCGCTCACACTAACACATGGTCACGTCCCCACCAACCACAGAAATGTGGTGGTCTAGAGTTTGATATCGTATAGAAGGGGAAACTTACACTCGAGATAACTCGTCGTTCCTGACCCAACGCTGGAGCACCCTGATCTGGACGTGCTGGATGTGCAACTCCGCCAGGTGGTTGCGATGAGCCCATCTTTATCGTCGATGTGGCAACAGGCTCCGATGATTCCTTCGGGGTATTCGGCGGGGGGGTTCGCATTTGATGGGCCACCTCTGGAGCCATGATCAACACAGAGAACTTAGGTGGATTGATGTGCGTGGTGGGGTAGGTGATAGACAAGATATATCAGCGGCAAGAAGCTTGGAGATGATTGACGAGTTTGGAGACTGCAGAGGTTGTGATTGAACTTCTGGGGAATTGCACGCCCTTATATATTCCTCAATTCTTCTGCCATCATGTTAACGCAAGACCAATCCCCCTCAAACCAACAACGGCCGGGGGGATGATGGAAGCTGATCCTTCTTCGGTTCAGGATCACCAGCAGTCCATGGTTGCAGCATCATGCATTGGCCGATTCAAAAATCAAAAAGGTTCAAGGGTGCATGCAAACAACGCGGGGAGAAGCACATATCTGCAAGACAGTGTTGGGGGAGACGCTGGCGAGACCGATTCAAAATGCAGCAGTGTGGGGGGAGAGCAGCCCCTTGATGTGAGACAGTGGTAGCGTTCGGGCCGTGGATATGGACCCTAGATTGAGCTCTAAGAAGATATGGCTTGTGTGCATGATCCCAGTCTGGGTTTACCAAATAAAATATTATGATGCAGTCCGTAGGGAGCGTTACCACGAGGTCTCAGAGCTGTGTGAGGATCTCCCGGACAGCTGAGATTCTTCTCCAGCTGTGAATCAATCAATGTTCGCTTAAGATATCACGAGGACGTACCCAATAGGCGCTCGCCTTCGAGGTTGCCGAAGCTCCGTACCCCACCTTTTCAGCTGATAAATGCCCAACCATCCTATAAAGACGGTTCAGCGCCAACTATCCAACTTGCCCCATTCAACTGTTAAACCTTCGAATTCAGACGTTGCACTGCCAACTGTGGCATTCGCATATGTTCACCTGTCAACCCCTGAACTTAACAGATTAATCGCCAACTGTCGTGAAGGCCTCCGTCCATCTGTCAACTTTCGAACTGATCGCTCGAAGCTAATCGTAAGCCTTCGTGATACCGTTCTGTTCGCCGATTTCTGGCTCCTCCTCGTCATGTCGTCTAAAGAGACACATCAGCAACTCGATGATATCAGGCAAACTATTTTGAAGTTCCGCAACGTTCCTGACACTGTCTTTGACGAGCTGCACACGAAAATATCTAATCTTTTGGCGCTGGTTGAAATTCAGAAGAAGTTGAATGAACTAGCGCGAGCAGTTCGAGAGGCAAACACACTGCCTGTTCGACGAATTAATTACAACATCAGAAAGCTAGCTGAGGATGACGAGGCGTGCAAGCCCCGCTGGACGCTGATGCAGAAGCTCAACTGCCCAGCGATTTTATTCAGCACAATGGCTTTCAACGGATTGTTTTCCCTGCCGGATAAACAATATGAGAGCCTAGTGGAGAACGTGCAGGAATATATTCAAGTCCAGGAGTTACCTTCCGAATGGATTGCACGTGACCAAATCAAAAGGGTTGACCCAATCATTTCTAAAGAGTGAGTACTGAGTTCAACTCACCGTATGTCAACAATACTCAAATGGATTAGATTATCATGTTCTCGAGATCCAAATAACTCAAGGTGCCTCTTCTAACGAGAGAAAAGGGAGGAAACGCCAAAGAACTGAAGGTGAGTTTTGACACCGCCCAAGTCACGAACAGATGCTTAGCCTCAACCAGGTGAACAATCACCATCAGTCAACCAGATCTCTGGCATAAGAGACATGCAGCAGCTGGTGCAGGCAGGCAGAAGTAAGCAAGAACCCTTCGTTTATTCCGAGCACTAGAAATAATATATACAATAGAAATCGACTATAAGTGCTCAGAAGCACCAATCAAACTGATGCCATTCTTGGGCAAACATTTATTCGATGCAGTTGCAGCCAGCAATCAATGGAAATGGGAACGTAATGTAGGCGGAAAAACAACAGACTGCTTGATTGCAATAGTCCCAGAAGACCGGAGCCAAGACATCTCCATCACCTTGAGCGTTGGCTATATCGAAGGACTAGAGGTAATCGAGACATTCCAGCTGGCGACTACGTGAACTTCACGAATGCCCCTATCACGCGGACTACGTACCCCTTAGGGACGATACCCGTCCCATATTCAGTAGCGCTATGGTGTTGCCAAGATGGCTCTGTATCCATGGGCGCATTAGGATCATATACTATGATCGATTTGCCTTTGCATGTTATTTTCCTCTCATCATCCACTGCCGGAAAAAGTTTGACGCCTTTCACTTGTATGTAATCGTCTTCAGTCTGCATATGAGTTAGCTTCAATTTTTTTTTTGAAGAAAATTGATATAATCCAACATACTTCCTCGGACATAATGGACAACTGGTGATATGTTGCCAGATAGCGCGTGGCGCCGCGATCGACCTATCCCAAGTCAACAAATATTTCCCCATGCCTTGAAATGCATCCATACAACCGAGAAATGAAGAAGAATAGTGGACAGTCGATCGGGTGAACGCAGCTGGCAACTGCAGACCCTGTCGAGAAGAGGGAATAGACGTATATATTGTGTCCTAAATGCCTTGGTTGCTGTGGATACTCGTCAGCATGGCCTACATAATATCAGCGGCTGTATGGACTGATCGTGGATCCCGTGTTCACCTTGGTCCTGAAGGGTGATTGCGCCGGTTTGGGAGAGGTAGTGAGGTTGCCAATCTGCGCAAACGCTGAAGGGTAAACTTCTCAGAGGCTCTAAGCCTTTGATAGAATATAATAGACTATGCTCTGCACGATGATGGTATGAAAGAATAAAGCAGACGGCGAAGGAGATATGAACCTGGTGAGAAGGTAATGGACGACGGACTAACGGGCAACAGCGGGCGCGACGGCAGTATAGGTCGGACGAAGTCTATTGGCGGAGCTGGCGGAGCTTGTTGGCTAATAACTAAGTCATGGTTGTCGCTCAGAAACAGCTTGGATGGTGTCTGATATCTTGCTTGCAATTTGAGGTTGATGAGATAACTCGTTTGAAGTGGTTTGTTCGCGACTTTAGCAGGTGGTGGTGGGGCTCAATGCCATGTGATTTGATCAGCAATCCGATACGCACCGAATACACCCCAGGCACTTAGGCTTCAATGCCTTCAGGCTGCCAATTTCAAGAGTGGACACGGGACATTTTTGCGTTGATACCTCGCACCACAGTCTAATCAAACCAGCCTTTGCTCCTTGCGAGAAGCTGGTGGGTGCGCTCGTTCCGCAGGTAAGTATATAAACGGTGAAAATGGTCTCTGCAAATTACTGCGACAGTACGGGTTCTTCCCATAATTGACGGGTCATACCAAAGGTCGGGGTTTGTGTTTCCCCGCATGCCGAGGCTATGTTACTGGAGACCCGCGCCACGAAGTTGGGTCGCTAAGTAACATAAATCTGTCAGGAGGGGCCAATTTATGCTGCTGGCTTTGGACCACCCGCTGACTGCCAAGAACACGATGCATCAGCGAAACAAAACCATTGAGTATCCACGATTTACTGTGCTTTCTGGAGCTCCTTTCATGATCAATTCTGCTACTCCCTGGACATAATTGCGTCTGAAAATGACCCTTGTTGTATGATCTCGCTATCTGCGTTGAAAATCCACCTGACATTCGTAGGTTATCTCACGAGAATTATGTCGGACGCAAACCTTTCAGCTTCTATCAATCCTCTGCAGTCACCACCAAAGCGTACTCACAAGGCTGAAGGCATCTATGTCAAGCACGGAACAGGTCGCCAAGTTCATAGAGAGGTTGAGGCTATGGAATTTGTTCGCCAACGTACATCTATTCCCATCCCCTCCGTGTTCGAAATTTATGTCAACGACAACGATGCGAGTGCAAGCAGCTGGTTCTCTATGAGCGCGATTCCTGGAAGTCCTCTCACGGATGCTTGGCCCAGCATGAACGACGAAGCACGCAGAGCGACCCAGGCGGATCTTCGCAGCTACCTCCACGAACTACGGACCGTGCCTTCTCCGACGCCAGCCTACATCGGGTCTTGTAGTGGTGGTTCAGCATATGACCATCGCCTCAACAATGGCTATCCTTGTGGACCCTTCGCTTCAGTATCAGATTTTCACGATTTTCTTGTGGTCCCTGTGGCCAGATGTCCTCGGCAAGAGCTAGTTACATACTATCGCCAACAACTTGCAGATAATCATGGGGTTGTTTTTACTCACGCGGATCTGTGCGGGGATCATATATTTGTCGAGCCAAAAACTGGAAGAATCACTGGGATCATTGACTGGGAGATGGCTGGTTGGTGGCCTGCGTATTGGGAGTATACTAAATCACGGTTTGGTAGTAGATACCAAACATGGTGGAAGACACTGCTAGGTCATGTTCTGGACTCACACGAGCGCGAGCTTCGAATTGAAGAAGATCTGCAGCAGTTCTGAGTGTGACACTAACGTTATCATTGTATAATTCATTGTATAATTCAATCTGGTTCAAATATGACGTCCATGAACATTGTTTCTCGGGGAGCAAGAATAATGGTAGTAGCAGGAATGAAATCTGGAAACCATGGCACAAATAGGATCCGCCCATGCAAGAGCAAACACAGCCTGTCAGCATACTGATGACTCTGGTACGTACATACTCCAATGTCCAAGCTACTGGTCCTCTCGGAGCCAGTACTGAATCACGTTGTTGGGGTACTCTTCGGCAATGAAACCTTCTGCTCGAAGCCAATCCAAGGCTGCGAGGCTCCAGTTCTGACAATTCCACCCCGAAGACTCGACATTGTCAATCGGTACCGCTCTCAAGAGCTGCTTGAAGCGTTCATATTTCTCCACTGGGACGGAGCCGACTTCAAGTTGCCCGTTCTTACTGCCAGACTTTGAGACGTCCACAGCCTCTTCACCAGAGTAATAAAAAGCCCCAGGCATCCCGCGAAGCTGAAATGCATGTCCAACATTCGAAGTAGTGCTGGTCTGCAGGAAAAAGGCCCAGTGATATGGCTTCTTCTTGGTTGGCGCATCCCAGCGTTCTCCGCGGTCGTATGTTATGATAGAAAATGAATATCGTTGGATAGAACTACACAGTCTAATCCAGAAGAATGATGCAGAGGGGGGCGGCCGCAGATGTGAGACTTCCTGGACGCGCGGAGGTCTTAGATGTCTTATATCGGAAGAGATATCTCGAGATCTGGAACTAGATCTGATAGAACAAGGAATGTAGATCGGGTATTTAGGAAGGGAGACGTGGCATTACTGGGCGCAAGAGAGATAAGCCGTCGGGAGAGATGAAGCTTAATCTACCGTATTGTGTAGGGGAGTCTTACCGCCCCAACGTCGATTTAGGGTGGCTTAGACTTTTTGTCCATATAATCCGCTGTAATAGATCACCATTCCACGTACTCGGTGGTATTTAATTTTAATTCAACAAGGGGCTGTTCGGCTCGACTGAAGTGTTGGCCAGACGGGCCCTAATTTTATTCTCCATCTCCTTGCTTCAATTATTTTTGATACTATAGATTCGTGCGACAGGAATCACATATCATAACATATCTCCGGCTCAACCAACGTCTTTCTATCGACTAGCTCCTCAGAATAATATACTGAACGACAAATCACCATCGGGACTGTTTCACTGAAGTCAAGCTAACGTGGTCCATATGCGAGTGAAACACCCAAGCGAGTGAAACACCCAACTACGATAACACGACAAAATGCCAATAAAATCAACTACAACACTAGAATATCAACTACATACAATAAAATCATTTCTGTAAGCACTTCTATAGACATAGTACACGTTCGTGCATTGTGCCCTATGTTGCACATGTTCCACATCGCCGTTCCCTCACAGTCCTCTTTGCACGACCCGCACCCTGGCGTGCTTCCTCTACTACTTGCCTATTCACATCCATTTGGTCGACAATAGCTTGTCCTTCAAATATAGCAAGACTGCCTCCTTCTTAGAGATGAGTTCTCTTTGCTCTACGACGCTTGCTTATAGCTGTGTTTGCCTCTTCTAGTACTTCAACTCGTGCTCGTAGTAATACAACTTCGTGCATCATTTTCCCTGTCCCCTTTGCAAAATGATCGGTTGCTTCAAACATTGCTAATGGAGGCTGTTTTGATGATACGTAATTCGGTTTTAATATACTGCGACTGTGAAAATGCTTCAACTAGGTTGTTTGGTGTCTTTGAAACCCAAGGTGGTTGTATGCCAATAGCCCCCTTAGGCAGTGTATTAGATAGTATTGGCGATACGGGTCGTATACGGCAATACTGAGTCAGTGCGTATTCCAAAATCCCAATACGGGTCTAGTGCGTATTCAGTTCTCAATACTGGCCGTATACGGGCCGTATTACTAGCCGTATACAGCTAGTATTGAGGCTTAAAATTCGAAACAAGGGGTTCGAATAACTTCAATTGATAGATCGTTATATACTATATATTACTACAATGACTTCACAACCTTCGGATATACTGTCACAGCTCGACAGTGAGCTATTTGTCAGTGAACGATTCGAAACCCCGACTTCGCCTATACTTAAACGTACGCTATCCTCTCCCTCTGTTTCTGTAACAACAACTGCAAGCAGACGATTTTCGAAAGTCTGGGACCATACACCTGTTAGCCGCTGCGATATCATTCGGAACTACCAGGGCAGGTTAATATGGCGTTGTAGATACTGTCTAAAAGAGTATCTTGAGTCTGGCGGAACAAAGATTATTACAAGGCACTTAAAAGAACACGACATAGATATATCCTCTACTCAGGAATCTCGAACTACTTCAATTCAAAGCAATATCGCTGAAGCTTTCGACAAAGCTAAAGAGATAAATCATAAACGCCGCTGCCTTTCTACTGTTGCAACTGAAGCCTTAGACCCTGCTGTTGTTGAGCAGCTATATGTACGATGGATTACAACTTGTGGAGTCCCTTTCCGTATGGCAACAATATTGGAATTTAGGGCATTACTCCATTACCTTAATCCAGAGATCGATAACTGGCTACCTAACTCATTTCAACAATACAGACCTGGACGTTGCGTACATACAAGGCTCAAAAGCAACAGATCAAACGCGATGTACAATCAGCTCTGTCAAAAGCCCACTTTACAGTTGACCTCTGGACTTCTCCCAACTCTCTTGCAATTCTTGGTATAATCGCACACTATATATCCGAAACTGGCCAATTAGAACACTCTGTTCTTGCATTACAAGAACTAGATGGCGAGCATACAGGTTAATAACTTTATAGTAATATTTATAGTAATCAGCTAACATCTACAGGACTTATTATGAGAAGACCCCCCCGCACCTCTACTTCACCAAGACACAGATGGCAGTTTGGCGGAACTTTGCATCATGGAGCTTCGATGGCGAACAAGTCTACCTTCCTGGCCCTGCTGACTGGTACCCTGATGGCTATGATACTGAGTTCTATGGCTTTCAGTTGGATTCTGATGCACTTGGCGCCTTTCGGGCCTGGGAGGTGTTGAGAGAAGAGACTGAGCCAGCTGAGTACAAGTGGATCCTCCCATCTGACGACAGATTGTTGCTGTTGTCCCCAACCAAGGAATCCGAGGAGCTTCTCTCCCAGTTCTACAATATGTAGATCAAGTGCTGCTTTTAGAATATACTAGATAGCCCAATGCACTACTTTCTATACTACAAGCCCTCATTGAAGTAAGTTATATACTTCAGATCATTTTTCATTGTGTCACGTGGTTAATACGGCCCGTATACGGCCAGTATACGGGCTCCGTATCGTATTAACCAGTGCCAGTGCGTATTGAGTTGAACCCGTATCGTATACGCACTGGTTACAAAAATGAACCCGTATACGGGCCGTATAATACTATCTAATACACTGCCCTTAGGTGGTGTTAAGAGTCCGCAACTAAACATTTAGTTTTAACAGAACACGTTCTGCATCTAACGGAACAAGCCCTGCTCCGCGAAACCCCCCTTGATATTACTTTCTGTCATAGACTCTTGAAGGGCCTTAACAAATGCTAGGATAAAGTCATTCTTCGTAATATGTGTAATATTAGCACGCATAAGATTCTCAATTCGTCGCCTATATGCTTGTTTAAGTGGACCAAAACAGCCAACGTCAAGAGGCTGGAGTATATGAGACGAATGAGGCGGCATACATAGTGTGATAATGTGTTATCCTTGCAGTAAAGCTCAAAATCCACTAACTGGTGATTTCATGACCGTCTAACACAAGGAGGCGATATGCACTAGAAGTTCGAGATTTTGTATGCTTATTGAAATGCTAAATCCATTGAAGCCCTATCTGGTTTGTTGTCCAACCATTTTGAGATGTTGTAATAACCCAATTGCGAGGTACTGTATGTATCATCTTGATACCATGATGCAAGGTGAAATTTACCTACAACAATAAATAGTAGGACGCACCATCCCATTGAACTAACACCTTGGATTACTGTAACCCATTCCCGACCTCTAGGCTGTGCCATTTTCGCTCGACCATGTCTTTCAGATGTTGTAACCACAGTGCCTACAGAGATAATCCCCATCATAAACCTAGTTTCATCGAAATTGTAGATGTCTAACTCTACAATGCCATATTTTGCAATTGTATTCCGTACAAGTGAAAACCAGCTATAAATAAGCTTAGGATCCTCGCATTAGGCCCTTTGGTAGTCATATTTCCGAAAACGGCACGTCCGTAGCTGTGGTTGTCGCTTTACAAAGTTTTCCGCCTAGTGGATGCCAACCTTTGGCGCGTTGCGCTCTGCAAGTAGTCTGTTGGCTATTTCTTCCACACCACCAAGCCGTGGTGCACAGGATCGTGAATCTAAGTCAAGAATGTATTGGATAATGACCTCCTCTTCTAGTTTTGTTAGCTTCATAGAATTGGGCGTGCAATCAAGTCGTGATTTAATACCGCGTCGTCGACGCGGTAATGTAACATAACTGACGTTGTATAAGCTTGCAGCTTTCCCCGCACTAAGCTTTTGGTCATTTTCCATAGCCTTAATAGCCATAACCAATCGACCTGCTTTACTAGGTGTATCCATTGCTTTTGGTGGTAAAAATATGATCTGGATGTGGATTGTTGGGCTTTGGGACGACTTGGTTTTATGTCGTTAGTGCAACGCAACATCGTGCGATCCACCTGCAATCCACCTGTCTACCAGTATTTTCAGTCCTCTGTCGACATATCTAACCCTGTATTCCATGCCGATGGGTTCTATGACCTATAATTGATACCCTACGGGTCCAATTTGGCCTCTGGTCGGCATGCAGGTGTAGAATGTTCAAGGCTACCAGAAATAACATTTGTCACGTTCGATTCTCTTCCAGCTAACGTAGGAATTGTGTCCCTTCTATACAAGAAACAAGGCTAGATTACCAAGCCCATGCTGCCCAACATAGCACCTACTCCTCCTTTTTGTAGTAGCCCGTAGCCAAGAAAGGCATCTTCGCAACCTCCGCCTTCCTCGCCTTCCCCCTGACGACAACCTCAACTGGCGTCCCCGACTTGTGCAACCCCTCCTGAATATACCCCATCGCGATATTCTTCTGCAAGCATGGACTTGGGCATCCGCTCGTGACGACGCCCACATCCTTCCCGTCCACCCTGATCACCGCGCCCTCGCGGGCCGGCGGGCCCTGTACGATGAGCCCGACCCGGCGGCGCTCGATACCTTGTCCACCCTTGGCCTTCGGCTTCAGCTGGGGCAAGATCGTCTCGGCGCCGAGGAATCCGCCCTCTGCTCTCCTCCTCTTGCCGATGATCCAGCTCATGCTAGCCTCGACGGGTGTGATGGTCTCGTTCAGGTCGTGGCCGTACAGACACATACCCGCCTCCAACCTCAAGCTGTCTCTGGCTCCAAGGCCAGCCAGCTGTACCATCTCCGGACCACCAGCCTCGAGGATCATCTCCGTCACCCTCTCCGTCTCCTGCGCGGGGATCGAGATCTCAAACCCATCCTCTCCCGTATATCCACCCCTGCTAACCAGCAACAAGCTGCTCTGGAATGGGAGCTCCTCGCCCACCTTAGCAGTCTGGAGCTTCATATACCTGCTCTGCCCAAAATACAAGTTCGACAGGCGCCCATCGCGCGCGGGGTCCGCAACAAGCTTGCCAAGCACCTCCTTCGCCTTCGGGCCCTGCAGGGCAATCAGCCCCTTACCCTCCAGCACCGTCCACTCGACTTCAGAGCTGTTCTCGAGACGGAAAGTCTTAAGCTGCTCCTTGAGGTATGCCAAGTCCTTCTCGCGACACCCCGCGTTCGTAACAACGTAAAAGCGATCATCCCACAGCTTGGTAATGATCAAATCATCCACAATGCCTCCCGTGGGCAGGAGGAGCGTGCTCAGCGTGCTCCCGTGCACAGGCAGCCCCGCGACGTCGCTGGGGGTGATGCGCTCGAGGAAAGCGGCCGCGCCGGGGCCGGTGAAGTGGTGCTGCACCATGTGGGAGACGTCGAAGAGGGAGGAGCCTGTGCGGGTGAATTTGTGGGAGTCGAGGACGGAGAGGGAGGAGTACTGGACGGGCATGGCGTAGCCGCCGAAGGGGACCATTTTGCCGCCGTTGCGGAGGTGGAAGTCGTAGAGGGGGGTTTTGGCGAGCTCTTCCTCGGCCACGGCGGAGGAGGAGGCGTGGCGCGTGGTTTGGAGTGGTGTTGCTGGGACTGAGACGGTGGGTTTGAGAATATGATGCTGGGAGGTGCGTGTTGAGATGCTGCGGCGCGTGGCTGCGGTGATCAGACTGGAGGAGCGCGGGAGGGCATTGCGCGCTGCAATGACATCCTTGAGATAGCGAGTAGAGCGGAGAGACTTCATCTTGAAAATTGACCTGTTTAAGTTGTGGTGGTGGAAGGAGGAACTCGGAAAGTTTGTAGTCGGGGACAGCAACCTTTTATATGGGGTGTTTGTTATCGGGAGCTCAAGTCCGGATAAGGTGGTGGGCGAAGTCCGAGTCCACATAAAATGCTGGGCTCTGGACTGGGCTGGGCTACAATCAAGAATAAATGGATTCGGAAAGACGTCAGATAGCATAAACTCCATTTGCATTCAATTCCTGTCAAGTGAATAATATGAATGCTATACCGCGTGGAATCTGTAATAAAATCGGAAAGCTTCACAATGGCTCTGTATCACCTCTATGCAAACCCCCACCAAAACCACGAACTATGATGGTACACGGTCTCTAGCACCAACTGCTCGTCACATATTCCCCTACCATCTTGAAATACGACAGTCTACTTCGTTTCGAAGCTATATCTCAGCCACTCCCCAACAGCCCTCAAACTTTCCCATCTTACGCTCTCATCCGGCGCAGCCATCAGCTCCATAATCCTCGTTTTCAACCCCAGCCTCTCCAGCTGCTGCCTCTTCTCCGGCACCTCCTTGACCAAGCACCCAATATCGTTACACACAATAGCAAGGACCTGCTTGTCATTATCCCAAGGCTTGGCAATAATCTCAGCCAGCTTCTTCGGCAGGTGGCCGTTGTCGTGCTCCAAAATCCTCCGTGCATTTTCGGCCCAGAAGGCCGTGTTCCTGTGCGGCGGCGACCAGCGTAAGTGGCCGGAATCCACCTCTGCTGCGTACTGATCAAAGGTCGTCTGGGTCTTGGTGTGCTCCTCGAGCAGCTCAGATAGGGCTGTCAGGTCCTCAATCAGGTCCGGATCGGTAAGATGGCGTCCGGTTACGTTTTGAAGAAGCGCGGGTAGTCGTACAAGTGCCGCCGCAGGAAGGAGGGATTTCGGGTTCCCAGATATCAGGTTATAAAGCGTCGAAACTAACAGACGTGTCGTTTTCTCCTTGGGCGATAACCGTAGTAGCTGTGTGAAAAGCGGGATAACATCGTACTCACTATAACTCGTAAGCATGCAATCAAGAAGTAAAAGGGGAGCATGGGGTGCGACATACTCCTCAAGCCCATCTCCAATAACAGCGCCCTCGAAGCTCAATTGCCACATGACCAAGAGCACATGATAAAGCAACTGCAAATCAATCCCACCATTTATAAACCCCTCCGCCGCAGTCCTCGACGTCGCACTACTCCACAACGACGCCGCACTCTCTTCACTCGCTGACACCCCCGCCGCAGTCCTCAAGATCGAAATGAGCGGCAGCACAGTCACATCTCTGTGCTCCCAAAACAGCTCTCTCGACCGCCTGCTCCGGAGGAGCAACGAGTACCCCATCACTGCGATATCCTGGAGTCCGCTATCCGAGCTCTTGGCGAGAGTACTCAGGTATTTGTATAAGATGGGCAGCGCTTGGTCGCTCGCTGGCCTGCCCTTGGGGTTTGTAGTCGATTCCCTGGCTAGGAGGGTCGTGAGTGCCGTTGAGGTTAAGAGGGGGATAGCCTCTTCGGGGCTCGTAGCCTGTGCCAAAAGCGGCAAGAATGGCGCATATGTATTCTCATGCTCGACAAGTCCATCTACCAGCGTCTGGCTGCCTGTATATCAATTAGCATTGGCCCCATCACACTTAACACCCCCCCAAATCCCCAAACCACCACCCTCCCCCCCTCCCCCAAAGAAGCAAAAGATCATAACATACCCTCAAGCAAATCCCCCAACAGCACCAAAACATACTGCACCACATCCGCCCTCCTCGCCGCCTTCTCCAGTATACTCCTCTCCCCCTCCCCCTCCCCGCCCAAGAACAAGTTCCTATAAGCATCAACCTTCTCCTCCACCGTCCTCTTCCTCTGCTCCTTCCTCACCTTATCCACCGCGCGAATCCGGCCCAGCTGTTCCTCCGTAATGGTCCCAGCGCGCACCGCGCCGTCCCACGGGATGGGGCGGGCGCGGATGTTGTTGCGCAGGGAGGAGAGGTAGGTTGGGGGGTCGAGAGACATGGTGAGGGTTGTTGGGGTGGTTGTTATTGGTATGGAGAGGAGCGCCGAATGGGGCTGTGAAGTTGGGGATAGGTTGGTTGGAGGTGCCTTATCGAGGGTGTGAGCTTGGAGCTGGCACCAAGGTTTTGGGCCGTGCACCGAGTAGAGATGCCAAACTGGGTGTGATATCACGTGTTGGGCAACGACTTGTTGGGGGATTTACAAAGTTTACAAGTTTACAAAGTTTACAAGTTAAATCAATCACATTCTTTGGACTGGGCAAGAATCTGATTGAATCCGAAATATAGATTCAAGATCGTCCGGGTATTTGATTTCCTATGTTCAATATCATCAATCCCTTCCCTTCGTCATTTCAATTTGACATATCCACAGTCTTTTCCCTCCCTTCAATATCATCTTCTCAGCCCAATTATCCGTATCCATAATTCATACAATCCCATCCCATCCCATCCCATCCCATCCCATCTCATCTCATATATACCTCATCTTCATCCCCATATGTAAATGCCATTCATTGCTCCTGCAATCCCAAACTCCTCGGCTTAACAAGCCATGAAAATTCCGTAAAAAAAAGTCGCTACACGATCAAATCGATTTTTCTCTCTCAGCAAAACGAGGAGGCCACATCACCTCCTCGACCTAGACCTCCTCGAATTCCTCGTCCGTCCACCAGAGCTCGTACTACCTAAAAAGCTGTTAGTATCTTCAATCAGGAAGCGGGATAGTTACTCACTATCAGTAGTCCCCGTATAACTCTCCGAATAACTCGTATAATACGATCCACTCTGCCTCCTCTCCTTCTTCTTCTTCTTATTAAACGTCATCCCCGCCCACAACGCCGCAAGCCCCAGTCCCAGCCCCCCAAGTCCCACAGCCTCCTTCTTATGCTTATCATGTTTCTCAGCATCCCTTCCACTCGGCACCGCGCCACCAAACCAACCTCCATGCGTCTCCCTCCTACTCGCCGCCGATCTACCGTAGCGCGTCGAATGCCGACGAGTCTCAGTAGTAACTTCGGTGCGAGAACCGCGTCGGCTGTCACCCTTCTTTTTGCCGGCGATGAGGTGCCACACCCCCTTAATACCAGCGCCGAGACAGCAGCAGGCGCAGAGGAGGAGGAGCAAGATTATTCCCGCGAGAACACCAATAACAATCCCTGCGATTGCCCCGCCGCTCAGCCCCGATTTATGGCCAGAGGTGATAGAGTCGCTCCACCCCGTCGTCTCAACAGGCGCTACGAAGCCCTGGGTTGTCGTAACCGGCACAGTAGTAGCGATGACGCTCGTCCCCTTTACAGGGGCGGTGGGTTGGGGCCCACTTGTCACGCCGCCGTCTTGTTTAGCGCGGCATTGCCCGCTGGTATAGCAATATTGATTCGTAGCGCAGCAGATCGTTCCGCAAGAAGTCAGAGGCGCATAACAGACCGCCGTGCTTTGCGCGACGTAGGGGTGTGTGCTAGCTGGTGCGCCGATGAAGGAGGATATCGTTACGACGCGGGTTGTTGCCACGGAGTCGACGATGGTGGTGGTGTAGAAGTTCCAGCTCCCGTCACCCCTGGACCCAGCAGTGGGAGCAACGCACGCAGCGACGTTGGCGGCGTCGGTGGTGCAGACTTGGCCTGCGGAACAGCAGTAGGCGTCGCCGTAGCCGCAGTAGGAGTCGCATTGGCGGTGCATGAGGAAGCCAGAGCCATTGTAATCGTGTGCTGCATTTCGGGGGAAGGGGCCGGCAAGGGCGGGGGTGAGGAGGGAGGTGAAGGTGAGGAGGAGGAGGGGTGTTGGGAGATGCATGGTGAGAGTGCTGTATGGGTGGTGGTGGTGAGGGAGGTGTGGTTGAGCTGCCTCGCCCCAGCTTTGGAAGCTAAGTAGGGGGGTTGTGATGCTCTCTCCTCAGAATTGATGGATTCGTGATTGACGTAATTGATCGTTTTCAGTACTCTCGTACGACCGGAAAGTATCCCAAGACGTCGAAATCCGCCAAGGTATCGTCAAATTCGTCGTATGCCTCGCAGTCGTCAACCCTCGTTTTCCCTAGACCGCTGTTTTCTCTAGACCGCTGTTCGTGAAAATGCAGCGAAAATATATCGAGTTAGTGAGGAAAAGGAACAGTCCAGAATTTCAGGGTGATGGATAGGAAAGATAAGGGAGGAAACTTAAAATCAAAAGATGTGGTTGTGTTGGGTGGTGTATTATATCGTTCCCAGCCACCTCGTTTGTCTTTGCCAACCACCTCAATTATCACCACCACAACCTGCTTCCTTAACGAACTTGCGCACCCCACCAAAACAAATCCCTGTCGCAATAAATCAGTCGCTTCAAGAGTTATTCAAAGTGCCGGTAAATCCCAACTAAAGTAGTTTTGTTAAAAGAAGTCCGGGTTCCTGGGGATGTGCGGTGTGAGCGTTTTGCTGGCAGGTTGGGAAAATCGGGGGTCCTTTGTTGATGCAGGGTCCTCTGATAACGGGTTCGCTGGGTGATAATCGCAGGAGCAGGGGCAGTTTCGGTTTTGCTGTGCTGGCAATGCACGAACTCCCTCCATTGATATGGATATCTAGCTCAATTAATTCCCTGCAACGCCAAAATGTGACCACAGAGGCCAATAATGGTAAGAGTAAAGGTCGCTGTAATTAATTGGGGTGCTTGTTACATGGATGCGTGTCCCTGCCGACACGAGGCTGTGGCTCTTGGCTTTGCTCGGTCATTTGGTGTAAATCATGGCATACGTTGAGTAACTTACTGTATAAGACATATCTTAATGCTGTGAGACTGGCTGTGGACATGCGTGTCTGATATCTTCACTCATTGATGTGAAGTTGTAAGCAGCCCTATTTTGAAACATTTTATTTCAAGCCATCTAGAGCCACTTCCTTGCTTCCTAAAACCTCTCTTGCTGTTGTCAAGTCTTCAAACTTCTACTTCATCCCCCTCCCTCTACTTCTCCTCCGGCCACACATTATACCCAAACGTATCCTTCATATTCACAAACCTCGTCCTCCTGCTATCCGCCACCTTATTCACCGCCTCAAAATCCTCATCACTCAACTCAATCAACTGCGCATTACTCCTAATCCTGCCCTCATTACTACTCTTCGGCAGCACCGCATACCCCCTCCTAATCCCCCACGCAATCAGCACCTGCGCCAAACTAACCCCATTCTTCTCCGCCACTGCAATCAGATCCTTGTTCGTCGCCACCTTCTCCCCGGTCCCTGGGACCTGGTCCTGCGAACCGAGGGGGGAGTAGGCGACGGGCACGACGCCGACGGAGCGGCAGAAGTCGATGAGCTCTTGGTTGGGGAGGAAGGGGTGGATCTCGATCTGGTTGACTGCGGGGGGGATCTTGGCGAGGGAGAGGAGCTGTTTTAGCCCGGCGATGGTGTAGTTGGAGACGCCGATGGATTTGGCTTTGCCGCTGGCGACGAGGGATTCCATCGCGAGCCAGGTGGGGGTTGGGTCTTCGGTTAGGGCTTTGTTGATGATGTACTTGGGGGGGGGGGTTAGTATTTTGGCTTTGACTCTCGATCGAGAGGATTGAGAGGATTGGGAGAGGGGGTAGAGGGGTAGCTTACCTTCCCATCAGCACCAAGCTTAACACTGCGATCCTCATTCCTCTCCGCAGCAAACGGCCAGTGAATCAGGAACAAATCCACATACTCCAGTCTCAACTTCTTCAACGAATCATTGATGCTCCACTCCACATCCGCCGGCTCATGCAAATGCTGCCACACCTTCGTGCAGATGAAGAGGTCTTCGCGCTTGACGTCCTTATGGGCATCCAGGAACTCCTTGATCCCGGAGCCTACCTCATCCTCGTTCTGGTAGAACCACGCGCAGTCCAGGTGTCTGTAGCCAGCGGACAGCGCAGCGACGACGGCGCGGTGCGTTTCGCCTGCGGAACCGACGGAGGCGAAGGTGCCGAAGCCGAGGGCGGGCATGGTGGCGCCGCTGTTGAGCTTGATGAGGGGGGAGGAGACGGCCATGTTGGGTGGTGTAGGTTCGTGGGTGTTGTGTTGGTTGTGGTGGTGTTGTGATGTTGTTTGGTGGGAGAGAGGGAGGGTTTGGGTTTAGAGAGGTAAGTGAAGGATGATGTCAATCGCGGGGGGGGGGGAAATATATTTGGAGGGGCAGGAGTAGTGTAGACGAGGATGCAAGGGGGAGAACCGGGGGGGAACCGGGGGGGAACCGGAGGGGGAATCGGAGAGGAGGCATGATGGAGGGAGGCATGGAGGCATTGCACGATGGAGGCGAGTGATGATCGATGATCTTGGAAAGTGGGATGTATTTTACAGAGTTTGTTTTAATTATTATCATTAGAAATGTAGCCGAGTCTTCCTGGTACTTTCCTGGTCTCTTTATGGTGTTCATAGTTTCCTCGTCATGGTGTTCTGGCTCATATTCATTCATTATAGCATGTAAGAATAGAGTAAGAGTGTACTTGTAGTACTTGTATAGTTTGCAGTGATTGCCGTGGTAGAGTACCGATAGCAGAGTACCGTTGGACGAGAATATGGCGGATGTAGTAGAGTTCTACAGTAGCAGTATACAGACAGCTCTACTCGTTCTAGTTTTCTAGTTCTCTAGTTATCAGTTATCTACTTCTCCTAGTTCTCTAGTTCTCTAGTTCTCTAGTTCTCTAGTTCTCTAGTTCTCTAGTTCTCTAGTTATCAGTTATCTACTTCTCTAGTTATCAGTTATCTACTTCTCTAGTTATCAGTTATCTACTTCTCTCTACTTCTCTATCCTCTACTTCTCTATTCTCTACTTCTCTAGTCTACTTCTCTACTTCTCTAAGCAAATCTGCGGATCGTGAAAATGACATCATCCTCTCCCACCCGCTCCTCACTCCTCCCACCCCCTAGCGTTTTAAGATACCGGCCTATGACATAACACCGCCGTTTGCCGCCTCCAATCCTCTCCTCTATGCCGTTCAGCCTCTTTTTATCTTTTCTCATCTAATAATCAGTGGCGAAAAAAGCTAAAAAGAACTTAGATCTGGTAGGGTTGTAGAGATGTACCTATGCAAGGTACAGCTACCCTTTTACCATGTACTCTCAAATTGTTTGGGGGTTGTTTTAGCTATTCTTTCTTCACTGTGTTTGACTTTCAACTTGCGTTGGCTGTGTTGTAATTAGTAGTCATAGTAGTGAGAATCACATCCCAGCTAGCAAACGCGCCTTAGTGAGCCATATAACCCGCAACCATTACCAGAATGATGTGCGTTCTCCACGAAACGTCTGCGATATCAGTCCCCATCAGGAAACCCCCCCACCATCAAAGTCCCATTTTTATTATGGCTCCGCCTCAGCCAATATGTAACTCAACTGTCTGCTCACTCTTCACCCTTTCCCTCTCCCACGCCCCCATCCAACACTCTGCGGCCGCATCCCACTAGAAACTCGTGCTAGGTACTAACTAAGTAGTACCCGGTACATCAACATCAGTGCACGCGTCATCACATCCAACGGCGATTCCTCCCGACGTATGACGGTGCTGCTCATCCACATAAATCTCGCTATCTCCATACCCTCTCCATACATGGCGTATCAGTATCCATTCTATCCCCTCCATGATGCCCAAGTACGTTTCGGAAAGTCGAGGCTGTGCAGGGGGGACTCCGTTTGCCTTTTTGATAACCATTAGCGGTTGCCGAAGGGGGTCCAGATATCTCAATTTTCATACGGGCTCACCGGGGCGGCGAACTCAGGGTAGTAGTAGTAGCTGGACCAGCTTACTACTGGTTAGTAGTGGGAAAGCAATGTAACCTGTGAACCAGTCCAAATCGAAAAGACCTGACCGTATATATGCCCTCCCGTTCCCCCATTGTCCCTTTCTCACCCACACATTCTGTCACTCGTAAATCCGGCCTTTTGGATCTTTCGTCTGTCAGCACATTGAGCTAAAAAGCTCTCTCATCACCCATCAAAACCTCAACATTCATTCACCACACAAAGCAAACCGTTTTGTCTTCCCTCTTATCACATCCAGAACAACCCACCACCACCACCAAACCCCTCAAGATGCCAGGCGCCACCACATCCCCCGGCAAGCAGTCCGCGGACAAGACGCCAGAGAGGAACGTCGACCGCCCCATATTCCGCCGCATGCTCTCCGTCCCCGAGGGCGACAAGGGCAGCGTCGAGCGCAACACCATCGAGGTCCCCATGTCTCGCTCCCCCTTCGCCGATACAAACGAGCTCATGCACCCCCTCAGCAACGCCCCCTCCTCGCGCGACCGCCGGGGCTCCCGCAACAGCTTCGGCACTTCCCTCCCCATCCCACGCTCGAAGAGGCAGTCGAGACTATCGTCGAACATTAACATCGAGGATGCGATGGCGGCGGCGAATATGAGGCCGGGGATGCCGCCCATTCAACCGACGAGGGAGATTATTGCGAGTCAGCTGCAGGATATGTCGTCGGTGAAGACGACGGCGGCGAAGGACATGGCGTTCGCTTTTGACATTGACGGAGTCCTCGTGCACGGTGACCGTCTGATCCCCGAGGGCCGTCTCGCGCTGGAGATCCTGAACGGTGAGAACGAGCTCGGCATCAAGATCCCGCACATCTTCCTCACCAACGGCAGTGGCAAGATCGAGAGCCAGCGCTGTGACCAGTTGTCCCAGATCCTCGGCGTCCCCATCTCGACCGAGCAGTTTATCCAAGCTCACACCCCCATGTCTGCCCTGGCTGAGTACTACGACACCGTCCTCGTGGTGGGCGGCGAGAAGTACAAGTGCCGCGAGGTGGCCAAGCTGTACGGGTTCAAGGATATTGTCGTCCCTAACGACATCTACGCCGCCAATCCCGAGATCTCGCCCTTGAAGGAGTTCTTCACCGAGGAGCAGCGTGCTACGTCTGCGCCGAGGGATTTCAGCAAGGTTAAGTTCGATGCTATCCTCGTGTTCTCGGATTCCCGCGATTACGCGACTGATCTCCAAATCATGATCGACCTCCTCCTCTCCGAGGACGGCGTGCTGGGGACCAAGGCCAAGGATCCCCTCGCGAACCGCATCCCCGTCTACTTCTCCCAGGGCGATGTTCTTTGCCCTACCGAGTACCCAATCCCCCGCATGTCGCAGGGAACCTTCCGCATCGCGCTCGAGGCTATTTACAAGTCCATCACCGGCCACGAACTGGAGCGTGTGGTGTACGGCAAGCCCGAGTTGGCAACGTACAAGTACGCCGATGAGGTGATGTCGTCCTGGATGGAGACAATTCACAATGAGGAGCGCCTACCCAAGAACATCTACATGATCGGTGACAACCCGCAGTCTGATATCGTTGGCGGGAACATGTACGGCTGGAACACGTGTCTGGTGCGCACCGGTGTGTTCCAGGGCGAGGGCAATGATAAGGAGAACCCGGCCAGCTTTGGGGTTTTCAACAATGTGCTCGAGGCTGTGCAGGCGGCGCTGAAGCAGGAGTTGGGTGAGGATTTCAGGCTCAACTGGAGTGATTCCATGAACCCCGTTATCGGGAACCAGTCGGTTTCGGCGGTGGAGTAAAGAGAGAAAGAGAGTGCGGAAAAGTTGTCTTTGATGATTTGAGTGTCTTTTTTTTTTACCTTGGGAAAGGAGATACGAAGGCGTTTCACACCGCCCCGGTCGTTTGGGACGTTGGACGAAGATATGTTCTGGCTCTATGAAAGTTATTTCTTTGGCTAGGGTTCATTGGTTGGGGGTGATTTCTTTGAACGAGGGGTTTCTTATTGTATATAGATTTATAAATACCCACAGACCCAATAGGCTACACAGTATAGATATACTGGAGACAAAAAAGATTCTTTTAGATATACTGGAGACAAAAGATTCTTTACCACAGATGGTTGAGTTGGAAGCCATCCATGTTGTGAGAAGTGCTGTGAATCGTTGTGAAGCGTTGTGAGGGGTATAGCTGCGAACTTAAGCCTGGAATTGAAGCTGATTAAATGTGTTCAGGAAGTAAGAATGTAATAAAGGCCGGTTATTCAGGCCTTTACTGCTTCAGTTCGATTCCTGGATGACTGACTGGCCTGTCAACAATGAAATGAAGACATAATTCCAAGCTCCAAGCCGATAAGATAACAAAACTGCACACCAGTCCTCACCACGCACCCGTAATCCAACCACAGCTCCAGACCACACACACCACCTCGCGACCAGGGCGCTCATTAACCTCAACACCACCACACCACCAACCCACAACCACCACCAACCTCTTACACCCGCGCAACAAAACCGCCCATGTCCTCCACCGCCGTGCACGCGCCGCACCATCTCCCCACCTCATACCACCCTCCCACCATCAGCACCACCAGCCGCTCGAGCGCCTCGCGACCCATCCCACCCGCCGCGCCCTCCCCTCCCCCGCACCCCTCACCCTCCCCCCCCCCGCTGACGGCATCGACACCCACGACAATGGCGAACGCACAATGGCTCTTCAGCGCCTCGGAGATCGCGAATTCACCGAGCGTGGCGGCGGGGCTGACGCCGGCGGAGGAAAGGGCGAGGCGCGCGAAGGGGGTTAATTTTATTGTGCAGGCGGGGATGTTGTTGAAGGTGCCGCAGGTGACGTTGGGGAGCGCGGCGGTGTTTTTTCAGAGGTTTTATATGAGGGTGGGGATGGTGGGGGAGAGGGGGGTGCATCATTATGTGAGTTTCTTGCGCCTTTCTTCGAGGGAATTGCGGAGTGGTGATGAGGAGATGTGATGTGTGCTAACTGGGGGATTCTTAGAACATCGCAGCAACCAGCCTCTTCCTCGCCACCAAAGCCGAAGAAAACTGCCGCAAAACCAAAGAAATCGTTATCGCCGTCGCCAAAGTCGCCCAAAAGAACGCCAACCTCGTCATCGACGAGCAATCCAAAGAGTTCTGGCGCTGGAAAGACTCCATCTTGCTCTACGAAGAGACGATGCTCGAGCTGCTCACCTTCGACGTCGTCCTCGAGAGCCCGTATAGTCATCTCCAGAGTATACTCCAGCAGTTGGGGTTGGAGCATGATAAGGCGCTGAGGAATATTGCGTGGGCTTTCTTGAATGATAGTCAGATGACGACGATGTGTTTGAGGATGGGGCCGAGGGATGTCGCTGTTGCGGCGGTGTATTTTGCTGCGAGGTATAATGGGGAGAAGATCCCGGATGAGGGGGGACGGCCGTGGTGGGTTAGGGCGGGGGGGGATGAGGAGAGAATTGGGGAGGCGGTGGCGGTTGTGCAGGAGTTTTATGCGGAGAACCCCCTTGGGAGGACGGATTTACCGCTGGAGGGCAGTCCGGGGGGAAGTGCGGGGGAGCTGGAGGCGACGAGGGAAAGGGGGGGGGAGAGCCCGGAGAGTGTGAAGGAACAGGGTGGGGAGGGGGGGGAGAGGTCGCCGACTGAAAGGACGGGGGCGGAGGCGGGGGATGATGATGCGGTGTTGAAGAGGGTGGCTAATGATCCGGCGACGCATGAGAGGGGTGATGAGGCAGTAACGTCGATAGAGGGCGTGCCGCCGAAGAGGAAGGAGAGTTTAGTCGATGTTGATACTGGGGAGAGGGATTCGAAGAGGATTAAATCTGGGGATAAGGATGAGAGAGAGGAGAGCGAGGAGGGGGAGGTGGAGGAGTAGAGCTGCTCACTGCTTGTTGTTGTTGGATGGCGAGGGGGGGTTCGGATGGATGGCGTACTTGTGGCGTTTTTTTGCTGGCTGGTTTATCACTGTGTACTTACTATGGAGCAAACGGAGGACTGAGGGAGGGATCTTCTGAACCGCCCGCGCTGGGAAAACTGGGCGGAGAGAGTGGCGGTGCCCACATTTGTACTATTTGCTCCATTGATGGAATGATAATGTTAATTCTGAGATAACAACTTCGAGCCGCAATAGGCCTCAAATCGAAGACTTTAAAAAACATCCAGTAGTGCTCTTCCTGAAAAAGATATGGTATTTCGAATTCTAGGTATATACTCCTTGTAATGTGTAAATATTCCCACTCCACCGTGTTTCCATCCCGCCATTTTCGCGCCCTAAAGGCATTATATAAATCCATCCCCAAAACTCCCCAATACGTGAAAAAACGATGCGGCTATCCAAGCCTATCCGCGGTATAAACTAAAAAATAAAAAAAGGCAACGGATAGCCCACGGTGTTGCGTAGGGCCCCCGGTAAGATAGAGACGCCGGTGCGATGAAAAACAAGGTAGCCTCTCCACAAATACAGAAAAAAAAATGTTCAGAACAACGACCCAGCGATCCCCACTGTCGTATCTCCCCCTCTCCTCTCAACCATCCGTTCTGTTTTCCGATTCCTCACTCACCACCTCCTCCCCTCAGCCCTCAACTCTGGCACCTCCACCGCCCCAAGACTCGGAACCCCCTCCCCAAACCTCCTCTCCACAAACCCCTCCAGCTCCCTCGCAACCATCCCCCACTCTGCCAGCGCTCTCCCCGCATACCTCGACCCCCCCTCCACCCCCGGCACCTCATCCGCCGCGCCCTCAACCGTCTCAAGCAAGAACGTCTGAGCCGCCCCTGGCAGCCGCGGCACACCGAGGACGCGGTCGCGCCCGAAGATGCGTCGGTCCGACGCGCTATGGAGGGGTCCGCTGTGCCACTCGAGGGAGAAGCGGAAGGAGAAGGCGCGGTAGGTTGGGGTAGAGGGTTCGGGTGCGGGCGCGGGCGCAGGGGGATGAGAGAAAGAGGAGGATGGGGAGCGTGAGGCTGCTGTGGCGAGGCGGGCGGCTTCGAGGGTTGTGGGTTGGGGTGGTGCATTAGGGTCGGCTATGAAGGGGTTTATTTTGCCGAGGATGCTCCAGCGGCGGCGGGGAGCGGTGGAGTCAGCAGGTGAGGGTGGGGAGGGAGCGGTAGAGTGGCGGCGTGTCGGCGAAGGGGGGCGCGGGGTGCCGGGGATTATGCCGTCGAAGCTGAGGAAGTGGTTTGGTGGTGGGGGGTGCGTTTCGTTGCGGATGATTAGGAGGCGACGGCCGGGAGCGGGGAGGCAGGGGGTCGAGGAGGGGATGGGGGTGCTGGTGTGGAGGGCGGTGTGTTTCTGGTGCTGGTAGTATGACCAGATGCGCTTGAGGCGGGAGGAGACGGTGCTGAGGATCTGGGTGGCGTCGTTTTCGAAGCGGCAGATGCGCCAGCAGAGGAGGCGCATGAAGTAGGCGCGGACCATTGGGGACCAGTGCATGAAGAGTCTTTCGAAGGTTTGCTCGGAGAGGAGCCAGTCGAGGCAGACGACTTCTTTTCGAGCGTTGACGACGGTGAGGATGTTCCAGGTCGTGTAGACGAAGGATAGGAGGCGGATTTCTGTCATCTGGTTGTCGCTCTCTAGCATCTTCTGGCAGACTTCGAGCCAGAACCACCAGTCAATGCAGTCGATGTGGAATGAGTTCGTCGTGTTATACCTCAGGTATATCGGTAGGACCTCCTCGAGGAAGTCACACAAGATGGAACATGCGTTGTGATTATACACCGATGTCCTCTTCGTGGCAGCTTTCAAAGAGAGCGCGAAAGACTCTGCGAATGTTCGCCGTGCCTCGCTGACGCCCTGTGGCTGTTCCGACAAGAAGTCTCGCACCAGCATAATCAGACGGTTCTCACACATCAATCGGGCTAGATTGCTGGATGGCAGAAGTGGTAGCGCCGCTGCCGAAGCATCAGCGCCCGCCAGGGAGCCACCGAGTAGCGATATCGGGCCAGCGCCAGCTGCGGCTGCTGGCTTCCTGCTGAACGTTCCATCAAGCACCGTCACAATCTGGGCATGTACAAGCACGAATGCCGGTGCCCGGGCCTTCTCGATAAGTGGTGTGTCAGCAGGTATAAATTCCTCCATGAGAATATGATAATGCTTGCAAAACACGTAAAACAGGTCACTGTCTCGTCCACACCATCGACCAGCCCATGCGCCACCCCATGTGATTTTTGCAACCTCCAGAGGCAGCTTTGCAGGTCTTTGTAGCTGGATGGAAAGCGTTTTTGCTGATGTCCAGCCCAGCATTTGCAGATTGGGCGGAAATGTGTCGACAATACCATCGCTCCCGCCACTCGGACTGGTATAGCGTCGGGGCAATCCAAATTCATCTGCGACTCTCTTGACCGTTTCCAGTGGAGTCCTCCAAACTCGCACAAGTGCGTCGGCGACTCCAGGGCAAAAGAAGAAGGCGTATGCTGTAGCTTTCCCACAGAATGTAACAAGACTTGCTGGGGCATGTCTAAGAGACATTTTCTCCACAATGGTGCTCATCTGGGCATTCAAATTTCGAATAAATGTCGTGCCTGCATTATGATAAACCGAATCGGTAACGAATCCGGAAGAGCTAGATGAGAAAGACCCAGTGGATTGACTTCTTTCCATGTCAGTAGCCGCTGGTTTGTCCCCCAATGGTGCGAATAGGGACGGTGGTAACCGCCATTCCGGTCGCGCCATGATCTCTGCCATTGCCTCGAGAATCACGGGCCTGTCTACTCCTGACATGCCATTCTGCGTGTCAACCATGTCCAGTAGTCCTCTCCACCACTTATCGAGAACATTCACTCTCCTATCCAGGTGCTCGGGCTCTAGATTCCTAGTAGATGGGTGATCAAGATAGAAATCATTTCGTAGAAATAGCAAGAGAGTCGATCGTACGACCTGAGCCTTCAAAGCACTCGTCTTCGTCTGGAACTTCCGGAAATCAGAATCCAATGAACAAAAGGCCGGCCAGAGCTCATCCTTCTTTTGTGCTGAGTGCATTGCCAGAGGGGCGAGCTTGCCTTTCAGGCCTCTCGAACTTGGTCTGCTCGTTGCGGGGGTAGATAGGCCATTTATGTTCAGCGTAAATATTCCTCCCAAGCTGTTGTTGGAGGTGTTTGAAAACCGAGAGCTGCCGTCATCAAAGCTGCTACTCTGAATCTTCTTCGACCGCTCGAGTAGCCGAGTTCCTCTCCTCACTAGTCCCGCCCCTGGGCTCTCAGATCGATTTTTCGCTTTACATAACCCAGATCGTATCGATAAGGCAGCTATAGATTGTTTCGGGCTTGAGGATGATATAGAGCTTGGAGGTGTGGACTGATCATCAGGGCTGTGTCCCATCAAATCCAGCTTCTTGCTTGGGGAAGGCGACCTGGAGGACGATCCGGAGGAGCTGCAGTCGTCAAATTGTGCTCTCGATTGCGACGCTGTCGACCTTGTCGAGGAAGTTCTTATCGATATAGGACGTGACTGTGTGGTTCGGTCCGTGGGTGCTTTCCAAGGTAACGATATAGTCCGTTCGGGGCTCCCCCGGACCCTCGACACCCACCCTGACACAGTGGATTTTCGTTTGTCGGCTGCCTGTAGCTCTTGCTGTTGGCTTTTACTTCCTCCATGTTTCGAATGACCCTTCTCAGTAATGGTAGCTTCCGATGATGTCCGGGAGAGCTTGAAAGGCTCAACAGCTACGTCAGCGTCAAAGTAGTCGTTGAGTTTGAAGGTGTCGACGTCGAGACCGGGCAAGAAGGTGAAGCTGGCAGACCGAGGTAATTCTTCAGAATCCCGAGTAGATCGAACATGTTTGAACTCGCTGGACTGGCGGGTTGGCAAGTTGGACGAGGAGTGAGAGCGCGGCAAGGCTGAACTGGCAGCGCCTGACAAGACCTCCATATCCAGGGTGACACAAATGCAACCAAAGCGAGCGTGGAGCCTTCAATTGAGCATGTTCGAACGGCGTAGGATGCTATTTTACTAGATCTTGAAGATGTAAAGCTCCTCTGTCCTGCAGAGAAGCGTGGGTAGTGGCAAACAAGAGTTGTTCTGAAGCGCCTTGCTTGGAAACCTGCCTGCCTAGTCAAAGCTATCGGGATGGGTCGTGTTTCAAAAAGGTGACCTGGGTGATTAGCGATTAAACGAATCCGGCGGTCCAGGTATTATTCAATGCTCGCGTCAGTTGATCGTAATAGCCACCATGTAGCCACAAATAAAATCCTATGCGAATAACTGAGGTGAACTTTTAAAAGATCGTGGAGAAAAGAGATTGGGAAAGTGGTAATTGAAAGAGAGGGGAATTAGAGAGGGCTATGTCGGAGGCCTGGGGGATAGCAGATAGTGAGAAGGGGAGACGGGGATGGGTCGATGGGTTCATAAAAAAAGGGAACAGGTAAGACATTTACATGTACTCTTTTCAAGGCATTTTTTCTGCACAGTACAGAATTTGTCGTATTTTACTAATAGCAGCACTGCTCTACATACAGGATGTGCTGTTCGTTGTTATATATGTACAGTACTGAACCAGAACTGTACCTCTGTGAGAGATCCAAACTATTCATGCATCTGTTGATAACCTGGGTAGTAGCAGGGTAGGAGCAGGGTAGTAGCAGGGTAGTAGCAGGGTATCAGTGTAGCCCGCACAGCAAGCACAGCACGATACAGCATGATACAGCATGATACAGCATGATACAGCATGATACAGCACGCACAGCCATGCGGAGACCTGGTTCGAAATGTCTGACTTATGCCCAGAGAGGAAATAATCGTAGGGGCTGACAGCAGTGAGATGGGTTACAGAGGCGATAATGTCAGCTACCTATGTCGGCCTTGACCGCCTGTAAGACCTAGATTGCGAGTGGACAATTGCCCGTGCTTGACTACGCTCCGTATGGCCACAGAGACCGGGAGCAAAAGACGTCAAAGTCGGTGCTGACAGGCTCCCATGAGCAGAGACCAAGTCCAGCTGAAAGATGGCCCATACCTTGGCCCATATGGCCCACTTGGCCCATACCCCGCATGGTTGTGCGCCCTAAGACCATCTGCTCTGACCCGCTTGGTGGTGTGTGGTCCTCGCTGCTGTTGTCGTTGTCAAAGAGCGGCTCCGAGATCTGTTGTCAAAGCCTCAAATCAGTGCTTGGGCCACGCCCTGAACTCCACATGACAGACCCCTTTCTCCAGCAGTCACATTTCAAAACTGAGTCGTCTCATGCCCCTATGTTGTGCGTGCCCGGGCGGTGGATGAGTAAACGTGGACTGTGCTTCAAATAAGGTAAGGAATTTGGACACTGGCGCATTGTGATGTTCGCACCCCTGACGCGCTTTCCATATTGATTTTCGTAGGGATTGCGTCCCGCCTGCTGGGAGCTAAGGCAGATTTGCCAATTGGTCTGCAGAAAATGGCGACTTTGCGGCAGTGAATCAGTCGGAATAGACAACCCGCCTTCTGCCAAAATGGACTTCTCCTTGTGCTGGTGGTCCGCCTTCGTCAATTTTCTCCCTAACCAAAGAGGCTGTGTTGTCCGTGGATTAGGCACAACCCCTGCACACTTTCAATAATATGCTGCGCGCGCGCAGGCATGGGTGGTCATCATCATCACGGCGTGTTAATGTGGCTCCATTCTTCACACCAGTGAGATGACACGCCCTCGCTCAGCTTGTCCCGATTCGCTGGGTAATCATCGAGGCCGTGTCGAGTATTTTCTTGGTGATTCAAAACCCCATTCATCCTATTCTTCGGGAAACAGCACGTTGGGATCATCGCGGCAAGGAAGCCTTGCTACGTCATTGTAATATCCGAGTAATTGTGGATCGTCTCCATCCGTCGATGGGTCGATGCAACAGCTGTGGCACTCGTCCCGCCCCGAAAGTCCGAAGAAGCATTCTGCATACGGCAGTGCGACAACAAACTAGAGTTGCCATATTGTGGCCTTTCATTAAGCCATTTGCTCAGAGATACTGTAGGTCCCGAGAAAAGAAACTCCATGCGACACCCCATGCTCCATAACCCGCTCGCCCTCTCTACTTAGACGACACCACTCCGGATCAATATTGTTCCTATCCATTATCGCATGCGTCGTTGAGGACAAGGTCAACCTCCATCTATTGCCCCACCATCTTATTTGGTTCGTTATAAGCCGCCATGGACAATCTTCCACCAGAAATACTCAGAGGGATCCTTGGGTCCTTGATTGCTTTGAATCCAAGCTCCAAAAATGATATACTGCCATTCCGCTTGGTGTGCAAGGTCTTCAACGAGTTGCTTCGGGAGGACCTTCTCAAGACCGTCCAGCTAGATTTCTCCCGTCTTGAGAGGAATGGAAAGCCTCTAGACTTGAAATACCTTGCAGGAACTGCAGACTACTGCGATGCTATCTATGTCGATCTCACGATTATACGTGACGACGGTAAGCCTTTACTTGTTAACTACTACGAATCAAGAATCATCCGAGTCGAATGGGCAGTGTCATGTGCCACATTAACCCACAGAACACCTTTCTATATACTTGAACTGCGTATTGCATCCGGCGGTTGCTGACCTTCGGACTTTAGATGAAATCCTACGCCTCCAAAATGCTTTTGCCTCTATCGTGGACAAATTCCCCGAGATGAATGATGTCTTTGACTCCCTTCGTCGATACTGTATGGGCTCAGCATCGTTCGATGAAAGCGACTTTAAGAATGCGGTGACTACAATGCTTGATACAGCAAATAAAGCAAGCTGCTTTAAACTCAACTTGCCATTCCAATTTGTAGGCCAAGCAAGTCGATCAGGCACCATGCTTTTTGCAACAGCTGCTGAGTGCCTTGCCAACCGCTCGGAAGAGGCAGCTCCTATTGAAACCATGGTGCTGAGCCACCTATCCGACACAACACTGCTTGACGTGTATCAAAATCCCATTGACCTGCAGAACGCCATCAAGATTTTCAATCCTTTGAAGCACCTTGTCCTCTCCCTTAAGCGTCAAGAAAGCAGCGGCCACAGCCAGAATAGGTTTTCTGCAGCTCTTTGGAGGCTTATTACCGAGGCCACTAATCTGGAAAGCCTGTGTATCATTGGCTGGAATAGCAAAAGGACTACTGCAGTTCGTCAGCATGAATTGGGCTTTCAAGGAGATTTGCAGAGTTGGCAAATGCAATCTTTGCCGTATCACGATATCAATGGAAGCAGCAACCTCGACAACCTCCGTTACCTAGAACTGAACCGCGTCGATGTCGAGGCAGACTCCCTTCTTAACATGGTCAAGAAATGCGCTTCTTCTCTCAAAGAGCTTTATTTGAACGAAGTCTACCTGAAGGTCAGGATTGGGGATGCCATCCCACTATGGATCGGACTGGGACCTGAAGTTTCTAAGCCCCATGGCGCAAAATGGATTGCCGAAGAACTCCAGGGAATGCCGGGCCTGGAATTGTCTATTTTACGTGCAACCGCACTGGGTTACGATGAGTATGCGGCTGGGCGAGATTTCGTCAATCACGTACAATTTGATCTTGATGACCCGTCTGGAAGAAAGCGCTCATTTGATGATCGTTTCGTCGAGGCGGCGCTTGGCCAGGATCCATCTTCATCTACCATATCCAAACCGATGGCGGAATATGATGTTGACAGCTTCCAACACGGCCACAACACCACCTCGCACTGGAGGAGCAGCATTGATGGTGTCTTTTACAATCACAACGATACAGCACTGGACGAGCTAAGGAAAATACTTTCCGTTGTGGAATGCGGCATGGGCCTGCTGACTGCGGAGATTGATCGGATCAATACCGCCATACGCTTTGATCGTACCGCCACCTAAGTTGTCCCACACGAGATGAGGCGGTTACCTTTTACACCGACGCACGAATATCAAAATAACGGCAACTGTCCCATTGACTGTTCTTACCTTTGACTAGGAGAGGGCCATCGGACGAAGACTTGGAGAAGGGGCTGGCTGGAAGATGATGAAAATTGGATCTGTTTGAAGGCGTTTATCAAATTCGGAATACGTATACCCACGTTGCTATAAAGCAATAGCCAGCGCGTTCCTAGAAAGTATTTTTTTGGCTTGGTCTGTGGGAAGTAATCAATCCCGTGTTGTCAAACATTATAATCCTAGTTACTGTCACATCCACGTAGCCCTGTAACTTAACTCTTGTCATACAATGCGAGGTTGATGTGCGCTAAGAAAAGGCTTATAAACATGACATGCCGTGTGTACGATGCCGTTCCGAAGATACCGAGAGTTGGGCATCAAAGAGGCTGTAAAATCGTGACACACTATTAGACAAAAGGCCACATATCTCAAGGAGAGCGCTTATAGTAGAATTTAGCAAAGAGGCAACGTTGCTGAACAAATACGTGAATGGGGAAGCGGAGCGGAGAAACCCCACTAGTATCCACCCACTCACCGCACATCAAGCAACAATGTTCACCCAAGCATGGTATCATTCGTATGAAGATCGTTTTTAACTCCTAACTGCCGAACGTCTCAGCTCATGTCTACTCGAGCATCAATCGTTCACCAGTGGGAGCTTGGTGGTTGCGGGTAAGACGGACATTCAGCCCGAGCTAGAGACATCAACAGTTCTAGTATACGAATCGAGGGCCAAATGATGGGACGCCGCCAATGAGCTTCAACCTCTCGATAAACCATACCAGGAGGCAATGTCAATGGAAAGCCCACGGCGCCGAGCGCCATCTGCGCCGTCGACGACTTATGACATTAATGGCACCAATGAAGATGATAGAATCGCCAAGGCGTAAGTGGAACCCCTTCCTTCGCCTTCACCCTGTCAGCCTTGTCCCTTCCGAAAGAGTGCCCCCAAGTCCACCTTGCGCTTTCAGCCTCAACGCGTAGTATTCGCACGAATCAATAAATCAATAAACCGCACAGGCGCCCCCGCCTCCCCGTTTCGGATCAGAATGGCTGACATGGCTGGTTCAATAGCAGACGGGCCTCAGCCGCCACAGACGGCAAGCCAAGCCCCTTACCTGCGTCGAGTTCAACCCGCTCAATGTCGCATGGCACATTGGCAACAAGCCGCAGCTCCGACACATCGCCGTCGTATAAATTGACGCAGGACGAAATCGACTTCATCGCCCGGACTGAGACATCGAGCTGGTACGCGCGGGCAGAACCGACAAAGGCGTATGAGAGCGACACGGAGCCAGGAATGGAACCACATCTCCCCCGCAGGTCAGATAGCAGCGATAGCTACGGTATGCGACCTTCAACAGCTTTATCGGCGGCGACGACAGGGTGGCGGGCAGTGAACTGGGCAAGTGGGGGGCGAAGCAGCTCGAAAACGTCCATGGACACACAAAATGCTGCGAGTTCTAGTCCCAAAAGGTCGACGTTCGCGAGGTCAGATCTGCCGAGGAAGTCATCACTAGGTTATGGCTATAATGAATCAAGTAATGGGTATGGAAATGTACAAAAGATGGGAACGGGAGGATTATTACGGCCACAGAAGTTACGGCCACAGCGGTTGAATATTTTCGACGCTTTCGATAATACTTCAGATTACTATTCCGAATCGGCATTACGGCGCTTGCCAGAGGAAATCATATTACTCATAGTCGCAGAGCTCAGGACTGTGCATCTGGATGCGGACGAGAAGAAGAGGACATGCCCAACTTGCTATATGCGAGATGTATGCAGCCTCACGCTCGCAAACCGCCAATTTATGGGTCCTGCGAAGAAAGTTATGTACGAGACCATCATAACCACAGGATCGGACTCTATGGGCCATATTAAAAAGAGGTTCAGGGTGAAGTATGGAACAAGGCTGAAGCTCCTCCGGAGGACATTGCGGGCAAACCCTGGGCTTGCAGAGTTGGTGAAGACGATACGAGTACCCTCGCACATGGAGGCGGGTGCGGGGAGCTCGAAGAAAGATCAGCTGCTATACGACGATATTGTCGCATCGATTGTTATGGCTTGCCCGAATCTCGAAAGACTTGTTGGGTTTTATCCCCATTATGACTATGATTATTCACGCATCTCTCATGCGCTGAGCACCAGGACGAGGCTTGCGGAGCAGCTTTGGAATATCGATGGACAGCCATCATTCCAGACTTCCTACGCCAGGTCAGTTGGTGGATACGGGGTTCCACTGTCCGATCAAGCTCGGGCGTTCATCTCCCATCATTCCGGGTGGGATTTCCTTCGTACCTTGGCAATACACTGTAGACCGACCAGTGCTTTTGATGCCTCGGTACTAGAACCACTTTGGAGCCATCTTCCCTCCCTCCGTCATCTGGCTCTCTCTTCCTTATCACCCCCGCCAGATTTTATAATGCATCTCCCACCACTGGCCTCCCTCCACCTCTCAATCATCTCAACCGCTACTGCCCAAACTCTCATCGACCTAACGAGAGCTCCACTTACCGCCACGCTCTCATCTCTAACATTATCCTTACTTCAACCCGACGTCATGTCCGTTGTGGCTATTGGACGCATCCTCTCATCTCTACCCTCACTATCCCAAGTCTCCTTCTTTTCACCAACACCGCTGGTTCTCCCTGCGGGGACAACCGTGTTCCTACACCCCTATATCGCCTCACCCAGGTTGAAGTTCCTGCATTGGGATATCCCATCTTCACCCCAGACTTCTGAGGTGAACTGCAACGACGCAAACTATATCCTCGCCAAAGCCATTGATGCAGGTGGATTCCCAAAATTGCGAAGGTTGAGAGCCCCGAGAGATTACGATGGGATCTTACAACGCACCTGTCGCCCAAGTAGTGGATTTGATACTCCGCTAATAGCACCATCATTTAATGGGAATGGAAGGAACGGGCAGATACCCACAGGACGGAGGAAAGGCTCAGAAACTTCCATGCCGAGTAACACAAGCGGTGCCAGCGGGCACGCAGCGAACGTCGACTCCTCATCCGGACCAACCTCAGAACTGCGAGAGGCTCGACAGGCAGCCCAAGCAAGGATCGACCTTGCAAAGCTAAAGCCGCGGTGGAAGATAGCCTGCGAAGACTGGTCGACCCCCAACCAAGTTCGCGTCACTGCCCGCTTCGATGCTGGAGGCTTCGTAGGGACTATCGGGTCGCGAGTCACGTACTGGCTTGAAGAAGATGGGATTGAAGGGCTCGAGGGACTGCTTCATGGGAGGTCCTCGTATGAGGAGTGTAATGGGAGTTGGAATGCGAGACAGGATGAGAAGAGGGGTTGGGGGAGTGCGGGGCCAGGGGCGGAATGGCATACGCCTAGGGAGAAGGGGTGGAATATTGAGAGCTTGGATAGGCTTTTCTGAGGGGGGCTGGGCAGAAGTAACCTTGTTACCCTTTACCTCTTACCCATTACCACCTTACCCTTTACCTCTTACCCTTTACCCACTTTTTATCGAGGGCAATTGATAATGACTAAGCCTTGTTGTTGGTGGCGCCTAATATGGGTAACGAACAGAAGCTATTTTTAAGTGGCCGGAGGTTGACAGGGGGGAGTGTCCTGAGGTTGACCAGGGGGTGATCACCAAAGCCAAAAACCGAAAACCAAAAACGGTTCCCGGCCGAATGCCCCAAGCTTGGGTAGGATGTCCCAAGCTTGGGACATTTGGTCAAAAACGACATTTGGTGCTTGACTTCGGGAGAGTCACGTCTGCCATTCCATTGTTGGCTGAAGCTACCTCTGACTTACATGAAGCTACTTCTGATTTGGATGAAAGAACTTCTGACCTTGTTACTGAAGCCACCTCTAACGTGAATAATCACCACAATCAAGGTCTGTTTCAAATACTCGACATTGGTCTTTGTTACACGGTCCATTCACCATTGTCTCCATAAGTCAATTCAGACTCGACTCGAGTATCGATACTAAGGGGGTCTTTGTTAAACTAGCTGTTCGCCATAACTGAAAATATATAAATATCAGAGTAAATTCGCGTTTATAATTTGATTTCTCTCTACAATTTGACTACGAATAATAGAGTCTACTACACTCCCCCGCTGTCGATGCCTCCTAGACTTCCGGCAAACCCCCCACACGATCTGCCAACTCGGTTGACCCGAGTTCAACTTGATTTCTCTCTACAATTTGACTACAAACCATAGAGTCTACTACACCCCGCTGTCTATGCCTCATAGACTTCCAGCAAACCCCCCACACGATCTGCCACCTCAGTTGGCCCGAGTTCTGCCCGATCTTTCATAATGTGTGAACGAATCACCCTCACCTTCACTTGCGGTTGTAGAAAACCGAGTACAATCAAAACCTGCGGATATGTGGGACAAAAGGGACACAAGGTCGTCGATACCGGTAAGAAGAAAACTCGAAGGCGACTATGTGATGAGTGTTATATCGCAAGTCAATAGGATTCTGTGGATGCGAAGCTTGGGAAGGGGAAGAGGAAGAAGACGAGGAAGAAAAAGGAGAGAAAGAAGAAGAAGAAGAGAAAGAAGAAGAAGAAGAAGAAGAAGAGAAAGAAGAAGAAGGGAAAGAGGGATAGCGACACAAAAACTGAACTGTATGGCTGGCCATTGCTGAGGGGTTATAGAACTGCTGCTAAGGATATAAGGTGCAATGCCACCATATTTTGACTGGCGTGAGATATAGCAAGAAAGGCAGGTTTCGAATTGAAATGGACATGAAAGCTATGAGGTGAGAAAGGCAAGGTTGTGGGATAGAGCGACTTCGAGACCAATGGCAACAAATCCTGGAGGTGGAAATACAAGAGATACAAGCAAACAATATCAGCAAACCTGAGCTACGATATGGTTTATTATTTCGAACGGAAAACGAATTGCACAGCATAATTGTCTTGTAAGTGAGTGTTGAGGTTCTCATGTCCTTCTTTCCGTGCTTACTCATCCAACTTAGGACCGCCCTTGGCATGAGTGTGGCCAACTACACCACCTTCAGATCCACAGTTGACTGCCCACTACCACCTTCAGATCCACAGTTGACTGCCCACTACATGTCCCGCCTTCATCCCACCATGATCACACTGCCGACTTCATGCCGACCTATTCTCCAGTCATTGAATAGAAAAATTCCCAAGAACATACAGTTACTTCTCTCAGCTCGCAGTTTCTTCCAGGGGTCAGCTGAAGTATTAACTCGAGAAGTTGCGCGACGACATTGGCACGCGGAATATGCTATAAACAGTCGATCACTAGCGTCAATAATGCGCCAACCTAAGCTATAATGTTCTTAGAACCTTGACTATTCTATGCGCCGGTAGAAGCGCGTATCGGAAATGGATGATCAAAGGGAAGTGTCAGAAAGCGGCCAGGCCGGCCAAGGCTCCTCCAGCGATGGCCCAGCCCTCACGGGGTCTGGAAGGGCCATCCAGGCTTGCGACAGGTGCCGGATGAAAAAGGTCCGATGCGATGGAATTGTTCCCACTTGCGGGAGGTGCCAGGTGGCGGGACTGGAATGCTTGACTATGGTCAAATTGACCAGAAAGAGCTACCCAAGAACCTATACGGAGTCCATTGAGGAGCGTCTCCGGATCGTGGAGGGGGAAGCTCAGAAAATGAGAGCCGAGAATGCTGCAAAGGATGTCAAAATCCAGGAGTTGGAATTAGCCATGCGAAGTAGGTCGGTGTCTCATGCGCAGTCGCCGAAAAACCAAGGTCACACCACACGTGCTCTGGGATTGACCACATCTGGTCGGCGAGATAATAGAGCAAAGCCAAGGGCCATCACCGTGGATGACTCGATATGCCGTGAGGTTGGACGGATGAACTCGGACAGGGGAGGGGTTGGGAGATATATTGGTTCGTCCTCGGGGATATTCTTCGTTGGTATGGCTGAGCAAAGATTTTCAACTCTCAAAAGCAACGTGCAGTGGAAAATCGGGCATGACCTTCTGAAAGTGGAAACAGACGACTACAATGTCGAGTACAAAGTTTATTCGACCCAGCTACGGAAAGATTTCCTTCAGGAATTACCGCCTTATGAGACAGCAAAAAGGTGCTGCGAGGCGTGGTTCGAGTTTTGGAGATATATATTTCCAATATTACATCGGCCGACTTTCATGGGAAATCTCGAGCTGATGTACTTCAAGCGACAAACTGCCCCGGATGTAGATATCCCCGCAGAGATATTTGGCATATTCTATATGGTACTTGCCCTTGGGAGCCGCCAAATCCAACTCACCAGCGGCACCGGTGATGATGGGCCCCATGTCCGGAGCAGCGGCGATGATACGATTTACTTTGAGAAAGCGATGAGCTACTATGATGCTGTTATAAAGCTGGGGACGCTTCGAACCGTGCAGTTCTTGGAACTTCAAGCTCTGTGGTACGTTTTTACTGGCAAGAGGAGCCTGGCCCTCCAGACTACTGGAAGCGTTGTCAAGCTATCCTTGGAGCTTGGCCTGCACCGATACTCGAGGAGGTTTGATTTCAACCCCGTTACAACTGAGATCCGCAAAAGGATCTTCTGGGTCTGTTATATTCTTGACAGGTATGTTCCGATACATTATCTTTCAAGTTTTGCTCTAATATCCCATAGTTTTCTGTCAACAATAGCCGGATCACCGAAATCCCTTCGTGATCAAGACATCGATGCAGACGGTCCATCAGAAGTTGATGACGACCTTGTCTCAGCAGAGGGTTACGTGGCAGCCCTGCCCGGAGAACCAACGGGCATGATGGCTTTTGTGGCACTGGTCAAAGTAGCCCGAATATTGGCCCAAACCCTAGAAATCCTCTATACAACAACAAACCGCAGAGGGACGCCTGCGAAGATTAGGTCTCTCGATCGCCTTTTGGATCAATGGGCAAACGTGCTTCCAGATCATATCCAAGTCAGCTTCGCCGATATGGCCTTGATGTCACCGGAAGAAGCTCTGGCAGACCTTGGCCAAGGTGCACCAGAAGTTGTGTTCATACAGCTCGTGTATTTATATGTACGGCTGGTGATTCATCGACCTGCCCTCTCATTTAAGCCACAAACGGATCAGAGCCAGGTGTCGTTATTGAAGTGCATGCAAGTTGATATACAAACTCTTCTATTGCTCTCGCACTTCAAGCAATACCTCCTGGTATTTGACATCAATCCAGGGGCGCATATATACACCGTTTGGCAATGCGGGCTAATGTTGATGTACGGCCTGTTGGAGCTGAGAGATGCAAAAGAAAAGCACGGGACGACAGGGACAACTAAATTCGAGCTTGCGGCAAGACAATCTACTCACACTTGTCTTGAACTCCTCGAGCATATGGTGTCCTGTGGTAGAGATGGGGAACGGGTCAGAGCACAGAATATACGGGACATTCTCACAGCCACAACGCCATTGCTGCAACCTGCATCAACCTCAGAGCCGAGTAACAGCACCGGCGGAGTCGAGGGTGGGAGCAATGCTAGCTCTGCATATGCAACAGCACCGCAACTCTCCAGCGGCAGCCTACAGCACCCAAGTACTCCCTTTTCAAGACTCATCAGCTTCAAGGACAACCTATTAGGTTCCAGAAGCCCACTTACCTCCCAAACGCTCAACCACTCCAGCGGATTCACCACATCAAATACGCTACAGCCAGATCCCGAAACGCCCGTCCAGCCGACATTGAATCAAAATATCTGCCTTGATTTTAGCAACGACCTTATACACCCTTATTACCGCTTCGGAATCGCAGATAATCCAATGTTTCTCCCGAATAGTCCGCGTCATAGAGGGACGCCTGCGAGTGCTATGGTGCCGAGGGATATTTGGGATGATCCTGTTTTTGCGTACTCTGGGAGCCCGCCGATGGTGCCGGTAGAGCCTGTTGGCCAGGCAACTGGGGGTACTGGGCGGAGTGATCTTCCTGATGATGGGCCGGACCCGAAAAGAACGAGGTTCGAAAATACTTCGTGACGTGGTTCGGGGAGATAGATGTAAAGGTTTGAGGATCAGTACCTCGGGCTGGAGCAACCCTTGTGGGCAATCTATAGATGGTGTTCCGTCCAGATATTGTGACTATGAAATGAGTCGCGGACTACACAGTTTGCACACACATATGCATATATGGGAAGAATATTAATAAGAAGGCTTCCATATAGACAGGAACTGATACACGAAGAGCAAACGGGCCCAATGAATGGCAATATTTGTATGTTCTACTTTTGTTCTAGGATTTTTATCATCTGGAGAAGGCGTTGAAATCAAGGATGTAATGAGAGAACACAACGCTTTGGTTGTGTCGTAAACTATAAAGTAGGGGCATAACAAGGCTCGAGGAGGATAATAGACCAAGTGGTGTATTTCGTGAAGAGTACTTTTTTGTTGTGGTGAATCTCATTCTAGGAATTCTTTGAGAGTTGCTTCTTTGCCCCTAATACATCCCGTTCTCAATTCGTGCCTGGTTCATTTCATTACACGATATAATCTCCAGGTACCCTTTACTCAAGAAGTAAACCAACTATATAATTCTAGCTTATCATATTACAAAGTTAGCACCTTCTCTTGAGGAATCTGACCACATCAAGAAAGCACCTTACATCCTCATTTGGTTGAACACTGGGAATATAAGGGCCACAGCTCCTGTACTTCCTGGTTCGATTATTTCTTTTCCCGAAAGGAGTTGGCTCTGAGGGTTCTTCGTCGCCCACTAGACAAACACCTAGTATCCAAACAACTTGCTTCGTATACCCTACTTGCTTCCATCAACTCCAAGAAGCTTTTTCTTCTATCTACCTCACGTTCACCTTCCTCGGCGGCTCTCGCATTATCTATCTTGACCATACCTGCGGTGGGGCTCTATCAAATATAAACAAATCGGGAGCCAAAGCATATTGAACGAAACCCATATCAAGCCAGTCTACTTCAAATTCACATCTTGTAGGCACCCTAACCAGAATAGCGGGTCAAATTTACTACATCTACTTCACTTCACTTCGCTCTTATCCGAATACCACTTCATTTCACGCTTCCTCGGATACCAACTATCTATTCATTGCCGCAAGATCAAAGATGGCGATCCTCCCTTCCTTTCCAGGTATCTCTGTCACTGTTCATAACGCACAAGGGCAACTCCCCGAATACGCCGATGTCGAACCAAATATTGTTGAAGGGCTGCAGTCGCCTCTTTCCGTTGTGACTTCCAACTACATTGAAGTTCCTCCAGATGGTGGACCCTTCTGGCTGAATTTCTATGTCAGGTCAGATTATATGCATGCTCCTCATGGGGTTATGTTCGGGTTCGAAGACCCTGGTGCTGATATCCGAAATTGGATGAGCTACACTTCCAATTGGTCGAATGACAACAAATGGTTGAGAGGTGCGTCGGAAGGATATGCTGGTGGCAATGAACGGAACCCACTAGTGAGAACCTTCAAGTTTGATAAGTTGAAAATACTTTCAGGTGACGGTGAGAGCGATGGTCTATCTCTAACGGAGAGAAAGAAGATGGAAAGTATGGGGATGTTCCAGATCCGGATCATACCAGGAAAGCCAGACGAAGCCAGGGCTTCACAGTGGACGCAAGGGCTAAAACAAGCAAATCGTGAGTATAAAAATATCCCAGAAAAACTACGCCCATGGAAACGAAGTTCTAAATAAGGCCCCGTAAAATTTTCTGACTCTATCACAGATACCGCTCATGCCATGGCTACTATAACGGAGAAAGTTGCCGCAAGAAAAAGCTTGTCGTTAGGCATTGGGTGAGTTATATACGTCTCGTCCGTGGCATCAATGCTGATTGTTCAACGCAGATACACCGACAAAATCCTCAATCCCCCAGCGATTCCGGTGGCTCATACTAGTTATCATACTTATAACAACATCTGGAACCATCCCATCGCTATATTTCAATTTAGATACCGATCAAGAGGTATCTTTAATTCTCCAATTCCACCATACAGGCCTGAGCTAATGAAGCATGTGCAGCTGACCTCCAGAGGCTGCTATTGATTAAGGCAGCTCCCCAGTCCGAGCAGATCCCCAGGGGAGGGTCGCGGCCTGGATGGCGGCTTGCAATCCACATCACGGCAGCACTGACTATTCTCCTTGGATTGGTTAACACCTGGTCGCTCCCCAACGATACAAGGAAAGAGTCGTCATCATGGAGCAGTTTCTACCGCAGTGTAGATTGGATAGGTCTTACTATCTCGAGTACGTGCTTCGGCACTCTCTCATACGTTTTTGCGCAAGTCTGTCCGGTCGAGTATGGGATACGTGCTAACACGCCTTTTCCAGAACCATTTCGGGAGACCTGAAGGCCATAGAACACCCGGTCAATATAGTTCTTCTTTGCCTCGCTGCACTTCTCATACCCATGTTCGCTTTTTGGATGAATTTACAAGAGAAGCATGGACGCCCAGCACTGGTTCCGAATTCAATGTGGCGTAATAAAGCTTTCACATGCATGTGTCTTATGGTAGTGCTTATTTGGGCCACCCTTCAATGTATGAGGATGTTTCTCAGTCTCTTGTAAGTTACCTCTTATCCTTGTGCTAATACGAGATCAAACTGACGAGACTTTTTCCTGACTAGTTTCCAAAATATCCAACACTTCAGTGCTTTGAACGCTGCAGTTCTCCTCTTCCCAAACGTCATCGCCGGTATCGCCCTCAATCTTCTCACGGGGTTCCTCGCGTGTCATGTCAGCAGCTACTATCTTGTCCTAACTGCAAACGTTTTTGGGATCCTCTCCCCGCTGCTTCTGTGTATTATCAACCCCGCCTGGAATTACTGGATATGTAGTTTCTGGGCTGTACTACTGAGTCCGGTATCTGCAGGAGGTAAATAATCCCTCCCCATCTCCAAGCATCGTCTCCTTCACAACCGGCTCATCACTAGTGCTGGGTATCCACGTAAACAAAGGACAATAACTAACATCTCTAAACAGTTGTCTTCACAATCGCCAACCTCGTCATTACTGATGCTTTCCCAAAAAAGACACAGGCTCTCGCAGGCGCTATGTCCAACACCGCCCAGCAGCTCGGAGGTGCCTTCGGTCTGGCGCTTGCAGGAGTCGTGGCCGCGCGCGGGTCCAGGGAGGACAAGACGGGAGTCAAGATGCACTGTGGTTAGGATATCGGGCCGTGTTTTACATGTGTTTCGGCACCATGGTGATAGCGTGTTTACTTGGTGCTGTGGCATTAATAGGGACGGGGATAGTGGGGACGAGCAACGAGGAGAAGAGGCCTACGACTGCAAAGCAGGATGGAGATGTATAGGCTGTGTGACATGACTTGGAAAACGGGACTGCATGAGGCTGAAAAAAGCCGAGGGGCCGGCGGGTAAGTTGATTTTTTGTTAAGCAAGGAGCTCATTCAGGGGGAGAAACGGCTGGAAAACGGTTTTCACTTTGCATGGGTCCGGGATGTTCGTTGCTGCAACTGGGAACAATCACTACCATAGTATAATATTATCACTTAATTGTTATTTTCATTTATATATTCCCTTTGTGTCCATAACACAGAGCAAACTTGGTGTGGTAGTATGTAGGGCCTCTTCACTGTCGTATCACATCCGGATGTATATTGAAGTTATCAACCTAAGTGGCACTCATTACCGCTCTAAGTTCAGCAACCAGTCAAATATGTATATTACATGGTTCACCTCCAATCCTGGGGTTTAGCACTTTCGCGATGTTTGTATTCCCATCTAGGTCCGACTGTAGTGCTCTGGGCCCGCTCCGCCGTGCTTCTTGATCTGTCGTGGAAACTTGTGCGTTGTCATTGCGCCTTGTTTCTAAAGGCACTGGATATATTATGTTTTAATGCAGTAGCTTCATATAGCTTCATAACACTAGGAGTAAGGGTCGGATGTTTCAAGGCAAGTAGATTGTTCTGCATTTTGTTACTTGTGCAAAGGCAAATTCCGCGTTCCATTGTTGAACAGGACTCATGTAACCTGACGATAGTGCTCTACACCTTGAAACAATCCGTTGGTTGCTGAGATATTTTATTATCGCAGTGGTTTCTGTCAGAAAATCAGACATGAGCACGAAATATCTAGAGTAGACTCGTCGTTGGTTTCTCACATTCCATACTACGCGGCTACTTCCGTCTCAGACACGATCTGCAAAGAGAGGTTACACTGTATTGACAAAACCTTGATCGAATCTATATGTGTACAAACATCTTAGCGGCAACTCTCATCATACACTCTATGAATCCCAGCTCCCGCTTCTCGCAACCCACCACGGCTGCAGCCGCCCCCTACCACCAACCTCGAATCCAAGTTCAATACCCTAACCACCCACCCGTCCATCTTCTAGCTCTTTTAATTACAATTCTTATGCGTTTCTCGACATATCTCCACGGATCCTGTTGTAATCAAAGAGGCCTTCGATCGAGCCAACAGCGCTAATGGCGATATCCTGATCCCAGAGCTTCTTCTGTGCGAACTCCATTATGTCCTTCTCGGTGATCTTGCTGACGACACGCTCGACCTCCTCGGGGCCCATGCGGCGGCCAGAGGTGATGATCTGGCGGCCGATGTCCTCGGCGACGGCGGTGGTGCCGTCAAGGGAGAGGAGGATGGAAGCCTTGAGCTGAGCCTTGGCGCGCTCGACCTCGGCCTCAGTGACGTTGTACGACAGGCGAGACCACTCGCGGAGAGTGAAGTGAACCAGGTCGTCCAAGCGGGTCAGGTTGTCGGAGACAAGGTAGATGCCCCACAAACTAGACATGTTAGCTAGATAGTTAAAACAAGGTTACGGTGTAATATACCCAGTATCGCTGTACGAGGTGGAAAAACTCATGAAGCTGTTGGCCAGGTCGTTCTTGTGAACAAAGCCGCTGAGCTTGCTGCCCATGTGAGGAGCGTTGCCCATGGCCTTGTCCCAGTTACCGACAATAGCCTGGGTAACGAGAGCAGTGAAGTAGTCATCGTCTTTCCAGGAGACACCCTCAACGGCAATGGCAATGTTGGCAGTTGGGATGGTGTCATCACGGATGCGGACTTCCGAGCCGACGAACTCAGGCTTGCGCTTCTGGAGCTGGGCAACGGCAGCGGAGGCCTGGGAAGCTGGCTCAGATGGGAGACCGGCGAAGTGCTTCTCAGCAAGCTCGACGAGCTGAGCGTGGGGAACGCCACCAGCACCGACGAGAACCATGCGGTCAGCAGTGTAGTTGGTCTTGATGTAGTCAACGAGATCCTCCCTCTGGATGCTCTGGATGTTCTCTGCCGGGCCAAGGATTGTGCGGCCGAGCGGCTGTCCCTGGAACGCGGTGGCGTGAAGGTGGTCGAAGACAACCTCCTCGAGCTGCTTGTCAACCTCCTCAGACTCTCTGAGGATAACATCGCGCTCACGCTCGATGGCGGACTTCTCGAGCTTGGAGTTTTGAAGGATATCGGAGAGAATGTTGACGGTCGCGGGCACATCGGCGTTGAAAGCCTTTGCGTAGTAGACGGTGTTCTCGCGCTATTGTAGATTAGCATGTTGCCTTATGTCATTGCTGATGTCTAAACATACAGACGTGTAGGCGTTCAGGTGTCCGCCCATGTTCTCGATTTCGAGCTCAAGCTGCTGTTGTGTGCGGTTGGAGGTTCCCTATTCATCAAATCAACATCCGGCCATCCCCAAAAGCTTTTCCCAGCTTCTCCATGACTATTTACCTTGAATGCAAGATGCTCCAAGAAGTGTGCTGTGCCATTGGTCTTGTCCGTTTCCGCCCGAGATCCGGCATCAATCCAGACACCAACAGTCGAAGTCTGTGCCCATGGCGAGTGCTCCGTGGCAATCTACGTGTTTCCGTCAGTCCATTGAATCTCACAGCTTCCATCAACTCGATGCGCGCATACCGTCATGCCGTTTGACAGAGTCGTGCACTCCGTGGCAACGCCATTCTTCGTCGTGACTGGAGTTGCAAAACCTCTCCTCACGGGGGCGTTGAACGCAGCACGCTTGCTGAGGCCCTGGGTGAGGTTAAGTGCTAACCGCCGGGACGCCATGGCTGCTGTATGTGAAGGTGTTCAATGAGGGTATAAAAGGAAAATGCGAAGAGAGGAGGCTCAGTGAACGCAATCAGCACAAGTCGTCGTCAATGGGAGAGGACCGGTGGTAGTCGGGATTTTAGATTCGCTCAGGCTTGAAATCTGATTCGGCCAATCAGAGCGCCGGTATTGTATCTGAGCTAAGCGGCTCTCTCCTCGGCTATGTCACAGGATTCCGAGTGTGCTCGACCACCGAACCTCACTTTTGCCCTGCATCACCAATTCCACGCCTGTACACTCACCGGGGGTTTTGCCAATGGCTTCAATTATTCGTCCTACGGTGCTGAGGCAATCTTGCCTGGCCGCCGCCTCGAAGCGCGCATACACAACCAAGGTCTCGTCGTCCTTCCCAGCCGTCCTGTCCCAGCCGACACGACCCGCACCAGCACGACAGGCCATCGAGAGCGCATTCGCGCCTGGCAATGTCCGAGTAGCTGCCTTCCACGCCGGTGGCCGCCAGCAGATTCTCCCTGCAGGTCCCCGTACGTCTACTCAGTTCCCCCAATCCCTATAACGCACCGCTAACGGAACCCGCAGAGATCATTGACGGAACTGGTATGATATACTCCCAAGGAGCACAACAACAACAACAGCAATACTGACCATAGCAGCAAACGACGCCGCCGTTGTGCCGCCGACAAACGCCTCCGAGGGCTCCTACCACTGGACCTTCGAGCGCCTCATCGCCGCCGGCCTCATCCCCATCACCATCGCCCCCTTCGTCGCCGGCTCCGTCAACCCAGCCACTGACGCCATCATCTGCGGCGCCGTCCTCGTCCACTCACATATCGGCTTCGACGCCATGATCGTCGACTACTTCCCCGCCAGGCGCGTGCCGAAGACCAAGAAGGCGCTGGGATGGGTGCTGAGGGTCGCGACGGTGGCGGTGGGTGTTGGACTTTACGAGTTCGAGACCAATGATATTGGTGTTACGGAGGCGATCAAGAAGATCTGGACGGCTTAGATTGGTTTGCGCGTTTGGGATTGGGGTGTGGTGTATACATAGTAGCTGGCTAAACAGCAATACCAAATGTCAAGTATTTTCCTGAAGTCTGCTTTGTATAGCTGCATTGCATGTGATTCGAGAGGGAAAATTAAGACGTAATAAAGATACACATTCACTTGCAGCATTCCAAAGCACTATACTATAGCATTTCTACCCATTTCTATAGACCTAGAGGTTTCTGGCATAGTTAGCTGCCAGTGGTATGCCTTCTCGTTCCCTTAACCCGAAGGGGGCACATGCTTTAAGGGACTTGAATGTAGAAGGCCTTCGCCCTCTAAAAGTCTAACTTGGTTTATATCTGCTTCGAGCGCTCCATGCCACCATACATAATTGCGGCGTCGCCTTGCTTTGCAATTCCCTCCTTCGCAACCCTTGGATCTATCCAATCCGGGAAGTCCCACATGCTCGAGTCGATTTTCCCAAACTCTACTGAGGAACTGGTATGGTTCTGGACGGTCTCCTTGAAAGTTGAGTTGAAGTCGCCGTCGTTGAGAAAGACGTATAAGTAATGATACCATCTGTTGAAATGACGCTCGATAGACTTGAGCGATTGGATAACCCCCTCCAACTCCTTATTTCTTTGGCATTAGCCCTTGGCTTCGTGGTATCCGGAACATCTCCTGTCACAAACACCTTGTCGTACTTCTCGCTAGCCATCGCAGAGATCCACAAGCCATACCTTATAGTTGGCGGTCCCCCAGCAGGCATTAATAACCCCCTCCCCGGCGACGACGGGTGCTGCACAAACAAAACCAGGATGCAAATAACGACCATGAAGGGAAATAAAAGCACGACGCCGAGAGGTACGGAAACGGCGGAATTCCCTTTTAACCGCAGGGGGCGTCTGATAGCTCGCCGTACAACCTCCTAGCTGCGAAGACTGAACCTAGATGAATTGGAACCGTACAGCCTCTCTTTGCTTCTAAAGAGGCGGGTATAGGGACCTGAAGGATACCTAGGATGCGCGTTGCTCGGTGCGCAGATAATGTGTAAATAGCAGCAATTGTATTTGGGCAGTTTCGTATAGCGACTCCTGTTTCGGGGTCTAGAAGCGGAGAAATGATGGCTAAACTATCGTAGTGAAGGCGTTGTGAATTTGAATTCCGAATTTGGGTGTTTTCTATGGCGGTCAGGCGGCGTGAGGTCTCCTGGAAGTTATTGGCCAGTTGGTCTAGGGTGCTTTCTATGACGGTCAGGCGGCGTGAGGTCTCCTGGATGTAATTGGATCGTTGGTCTAGGGTGCTTTCTATGACGGTCAGGCGGCGTGAGGTCTCCTGGAAGTTATTGGATTGTTGGTCTAGGCGGTCTAGGATCCGTTTGAAATAGTTGGCTGTGCTGCGCAAGAGTGGTCTGAATTTGCCCGGCTTGCTGGATGGGCTCTATATTAGCAAGACGCGGGATCTCTTCGTTGATAGTGTTCGCGTCCTCTGCTATTCTGTTGAAGGCAGCGGAGACACTCTCGATGTTCGGGGGCAAATTGTTAGGATCCATGAAAAAATGAGTGGCCGAAGGGAAACAAAAATCCCTTCGCCCTTGTGATGGCGTTTGGACGCGTTGAGATTCGAGAGAGGAAGTTGGTTCCAAGAGTGGTGCAGACTCGACGCTCTTCTTGGGAAACTATGACAAGCGACTCGCACGTTGTTTATATGTGGTCCTCCGGGTCGATTGAACGTCTTGGCTGGTGAGAACTGACGAGATCTTGGTATGGGAGAAAGATATGGAAAACGTTCGTGGGTCCCTGTTGAGTAGGAAGGTCCAATTCGAGCCAAGGACCCAGAAAAGGGAAGGAGACACCACCACAATTGCACCACAATTAGTTGCACACCGCCCTGTTAATTCAGCCTCGACGGCCCCGCCTTGGCACTATCACAGCCAATTAACAATCCTCTGTCGACATGTCCCCCAAAATCACTTCCAAAGGTCTCTCATACGACTCCTCTCTCCTGCCCTTCCTCCAGCGCCTCCGTGCCGAGAACACTTCGGGCTCCACAGCCGCACCACGCCCCAAGCGCGCCCCAAACCCTGACGCTGACGAGGAGGATGAGCCCGTCTATGTAGACGAAGAGGGGGCAGATCTCGATGATGATGAGCTACACAGTTTAGGTGTGACGAAGAAGGCCGCAAAGAAAGGCGAGGAAGCTGCGGAGGAGGCCAAGCCAGAGGCGGTGGGAGAGCCCGAGAGGAAAGAGGAGAAGATTGCCGCAATTGGGGCAGCGAGGAAACGAAAGGTTGGGAAGGTTGTAGGGGCGCCAGAGGAGGAAGAAGGGAAAGTCAGTGATGCCCCCGGGAAAGATAAACAGGCGCCGCCACAGAAGAAAAAGAAGGTCAAGAAGGTGAAGCTGAGCTTTGGGGATGATGAGTGAGGACCAGATGGACTATGCTTGGAGTTCACTTGAGGGCAAGGGGGTGATGCATTGGGTGGTTTAGAATACTGCGCATAGACTATACGGGACTGGGATTGTGCGGGTGGCGTTCGGGAGTGTCTAGAGATACCCACAAAGCGCATTTATTTCATGCCATGGGCGTCCATACTAGGCGGTCCCATTTATGAGAAAGGATTGCTGCATCAGAGGCACAGCAATTGTGGCCTCTCAGTTGGCGGCCGGTACGATTTACGGGCGATATCAACCAACTGATATATCAAATGGATCGCTCCAACGAGTGTGTATTGTCTAGAGAGCCACATCCTGAAGCTCGCTCAGGATGCTGCTCTCGGTGAGTAAACTAGGCCTAAATAGTTATATATGTGAGACACGCATATATGTGAGAATATCGAACATGTGACATGAATAGCTTCAGTCCCAACTGAGATGGCCCTTGGCAGTCAGGTAAGACACTAGACGGGCTTCCCACGCTCCATAGCGTTCAACAATAAGGTTTGCCATTGAAGATGTGTGTTATGCGAAGCTATATCCCACCAATTCCTAACCCCTTCCGGTGTTTCCAGTAGTATTGCCCATATACGGGAGGCTCTCGTATACGGGCCCGTATTATACTTAAGTATTCCACGTGATCCTTTCACAATTTTCAGGTCGTCGTGAAAACTCTGCATTCTATCCTTACGTCTTATGATTCAGCCTACATCATGGCTTCTGAACCTTCTTGTAATGGTGGGTGCACCAGATGTGAGAATCTAGCCACCCAAGGAAGTGTCATACTGACATTCGTTGCACTCAGTTTGCTATCAAACTCAGAGCAAACTTAGAAATCTCCTCCTCAAACCTACAAGTCACTATACATATCTTGGCTTATCACACCAACAACAAGAGTAATACTACTCAACGATTGCTGCAAACTCTTCTACTACATCTGTTTATGCTACATACATCACGGCATATCATTTGGACACTCATTGAACAAGTTATTAAGAAAATCTCCTCCTTAAGGGGGTGGGCCAATACTACCACATGGCATATCTCTACCAACTAGAGGCCTAGGAACATGAATGATAGCTCTAGAAGCTTTTACAACCCTCTATGATTCATTACATGTCATCGCTCCTTAGTTACCCACAAGATTGGTTAAGTTATGACATAATTTGTCTATAGGGGTACTCTGACCTTGGACCTCCTTTCACTTCGTATAGGCTAGAAACCCAAGAGATGGTTCTATGGGATTCTCTTACGTTCACTACATGATTAGCAAGCTAGTTGTGGGTCGCACTTGATTTCTAATACATTTACCAAGCCTGGTTAGTCATGGAAAGTCATGGAAAATGAGAGAACTACACTCCTTTGGCATAAATAGGATTGCCCTTTCCTTAAGAAAGGGCAAGCAGACAATACAGTAAATCGACTATCACATACTTCCACGTCTTTTCCAAGCTTCCAAGCATTGATCTTGTTACTCCTTGTTTCTGAAAAGTCAGTGAGGTGTTAACCTCTGACTTACCCCTGAGTTCCCAGACTCAACATTTGTTGCAACTTGTCTGAACCACTTCACTACATCACACACCTGATTGCTGCGTTGTGGAATAGTCTAAGCTACGACCCTTTGTCAGCCAGTCATAACTTAACCAATCTTGTGGGTAATTAAGGAGCGATGACGTGTAATGAATCATAGACAGTTGTAGAAGCTTTTGGAGCTATCGTTCATGTTCCTAGGCCCTAGTTGATAGAATGATAGTCGATTTACTGTATTGTCTGCTTGCCCTTTCTTAAGGAAAGGGCAATCCTATTTATGCTAAAGGAGTGTAGTTCTCTCATTTTCCAAGACTTTCCATAACTAACCAGGCTTGGTAACTGTAGTCGATGTAAGAGAATCCCATAGAACCATCTCCTAGGTTCCTAGCCTATAGGAAGTGAAAGGAGGTCCAAGGTCAGAGTACCCCTATAGACAGATTATGTCATAACTTAACCAATCTTGTGGGTAACTAAGGAGCGATGCGTGTAATGAATCATAGACAGTTGTAGAAGCTTTTGGAGCTATCGTTCATGTTCCTAGGCCTCTAGTTGATAGAGATTGTCATGTGTAGTATTAGCCCAGTAACTAAGGAGTGATGTCATGTAATGAATCATAGAGGGTTGTAGAGATATGTTATGTGGTCATATCGGCCCAGTATAAGGAGCAATGACGTGTAATGAATCATAGAGGGTTGTAGCAATCATTGAGTAGTATTGCTCTTGTTGTTGGTGTGACAAGCCAAAATATGTATAGTGACTTGTAGGTTTGAGGAGGAGATTTCTAAGTTTGCTCTTGAGTTTGATAGCAAACTGAGTGCAACGAATGTCAGTATGACAAACAGGCTAGGTATTATGGCAATTCAAGCTGTTGAGTGCTTGAAGTCTTGGTTTAAGAAGAATAAGAGTACAGCTTTGCCGTTTGTAGATGATGAGCTGTCAACACTCCCAGATATATTGTTGCAAGAGGCAGCAATGACTATGATATCTAGCTAGTTCAATATGTTCTGAAATTTACAGGGTTATAGAGTATACAGTTTTTACAGCTTCAATTTTTAACATTACATGAAATACTTAAGTATTGCCCGTATTAATACTTAAGTATTGATACAGAGCTCACTAGTATCATAATGGCCTGAATACTTAAGTATTTGTAATGGTGGGTGCACCAGATATGAGAATCTAGCCACCCAAGGAAGGGATGAATTTACTAAGACAACACACTGTCTTAGGAAACAGAGCCAAAGGGTTGTAGCTTAGACTATTCCACAACGCAGCAATCAGGTGTATGATGTGGTGAAGTGGTTTAGACAAGTTGCAACAAATGTTGAGTCTGAGAACTCAGGGGTAAGTCAGAGGTTAGCACCTCACTGACTTTTCAAAACAGAGAATAACAAGATCAATGCTTGGAAGCTTGGAAAAGACGTAGAAGTATGTGCTAGTCGATTTACTGTATTGTCTGCTTGCCCTTTCTTAAGGAAAGGGCAATCCTATTTATGCCAAAGGAGTGTAGTTCTCTCATTTTCCATGACTTTCCATGACTAACCAGGCTTGGTAAATGTATTAGAAATCAAGTGCGACCCACAACTAGCTTGCTAATCATGTAGTGAACGTAAGAGAATCCCATAGAACCATCTCTTGGGTTCCTAGCCTATAGGAAGTGAAAAGGAGGTCCAAGGTCAGAGTACCTATAGATAAATTATGTCATAACTTAACCAATCTTGTGGGTAACTAAGGAGCGATGACGTGTAATGAATCATAGAGGGTTGTAGAAGCTTCTAGAGCTATCGTTCATGTTCCTAGGCCTCTAGTTGGTAGATATATGCCATGTGGTAGTATTGGCCCACCCCCTTAAGGAGGAGATTTTCTTAATAACTTGTTCAATGAGTGTTCAAATGATATGCCGTGATGTATGTAGCATAAACAGATGTAGTAGAAGAGTTTGCAGCAATCGTTGAGTAGTATTGCTTCTGTTGTTGGTGTGATAAGCCAAGATATGTATGGTGACTTGTAGGTTTGAGGAGGAGATTTCTAAGTTTGCTCTTGAGTTTGATAGCAAACTGAGTGCAACGAATGTCAGTATGACATGATCCCCCTTTTAAGGACGTTTGTGGGCTGTCTGCTTGCCCTTTAGCCAGGTGGCTTTCTTAGAAAGAAATTCTAGAATGAGCTTAGATGCATTTTTTAGATTTCTCTTAGGCTCCCAAGTGTTGTCACTTGTAGGATAGCCTTTCCACTTAACGAGGAAGTAGTCCTGACCTCTAAGTGTCTTTTTGTCAAGGATAGACTCTACTTCATATTCTGGTTGATCCAAGATCAGAACAGGAGGTGGAGGAGACTGAAGTGGTCTTAAGGAACTTTCTTGTGCCTTAGACAAGAGAGATGCATGGAAGACATTATGGATAGTCCAAGTAGGTGGTAATGCAAGCTCGAAAGCATTCTTGCCAATAGTCCTTGTGATCTTAAAAGGTCCAAGTCTTTTAGTATCAAGTTTGTCTGAAGGTCTAGTAGTTGTGATATGTCTTCTAGACAAAAAGACTTGATCACCAACTTTGAATTGTGGTGCAACCACCCCCCTGTTAAAGGCCTGAGCCTGCTCGTCTTGTGCACGCTGTATTTGAACCTTGAGATAGTCCTGGAGGCCCTTAAGGTAGATGATTCTTTCAGTAGCAGAAGGGTTTTTGAAATTTTCAGGACAATTCAGTTCTGCCACTTCAAACCTAGGGTGATAACCATAGTTTGCATAGAAAGGTGTCTCTTTTGTGGTGTTAGAGACTGTGTTGTTGTAAGCAAATTCTGCAAGATGGAGAAGATCTGCCCAGTTGTCTTGAGCATAGTTTGTATAAATTCTTAGATATTGTTCAAGTACAGAGTTGACTCTCTCTGTCTGGCCATCTGTTTGAGGGTGATAAGCTGTAGAGAAGCGTTGTTCCATGTTTAAGAGTTTAGAGAACTCCTTAAAAAAGTTTGAAGTGAAAACTGCTCCCCTATCTGAGATCCAGTGTCCAGGAATTCCATGATATTTAAAGACCACCTTGAGGAATAGCCACGCAAGTTCAGAAGCTGTGATAGTCTCATTGCAAGGCTCAAAGTGTGCCATTTTTGTGAGCCTTTCTACCACCACAAGGATAGAGTCATAAGGGGTAGCACCCCCTTTTGGGATAGAAGGAGGCAACTTGACTATAAAGTCAATGGATATGGAGTCCCATGGGCGTTCTGGTATAGGTAGAGGCTGCAAGAGGCCATAGGGCTTTTGCCGTGTAGGCTTGTTCAAGTTGCAAGTAGTGCAAGAAGATATATAGTCTTGAAGAGTAGTCCTTAGACTAGGCCAGTAGAACTTTCTTGTTAGAAGTTCATAAGTTTTTGCAAAGCCAAAGTGCCCTGCAGCTGGAGCATCATGGAACTGCTGTAGGAGGTGTAGCTGTAATCGTTTATCCCTTGGGACATAGATATAGTTCTTGAAT